CAACATAATATGAATCCCATTAGCTCACTTGCTCCCACAGGATAGAAAGAAAAGTAGCATTAAACTCCCCACAACTATCTAAGCCAGCCTACACCAACAATTTACATTTTGAGACACCCTATAAGCAGTCAGACCTTACACTTGGTAGCATCTGGAAAGGTAGTTTCTGCCCAATGTGAAGGTTACTAGCAAACCAAGAGATGTTATACAATGGAAACAATGACACCTGTTCCTCAACTGATAAAATTTGGTTTGTGTCCAGTTCAATGAATGGGGCTGAGCACTTGCTTGTGTAAGCTCTATAAATACACAAAACAAAGGAACTTGGAAGTGAGCCCTGCAAGGCTGGTATCTTGTACACAGAAGAAAGCCAAAGTGGAGCTTTACAGGTATGTCACAATCCAATTGTCTAAGAATTATTCTAGTACTTAGAAACTCTATGTCATCTATGCCAGGTGACTGAATTACCAACATTTGAAAGCTACAGTTTCAACTACCTGTCCTCTTTACACCGTGTATGACTGTAGAATACAGAGTGCCTACTTGGAACTTGAATCCAATACTACTATGAATCAGTAGTTATCTATTCCTTCCTCCTTCTCTAAAGAAGAGAAGTCAGTGGATACACTGTGATTTGTGACAGTTGGTTCAGGTGCACTTTATGAATTCCAAAGCTATAGACTTGGCAAGTAAAAACTTGTAAGCCTCATTTCTTACTCAGTAAGTCGATTACTGGGGTCCTTTTTGTGTGTCAGCTGTACAATATACAACCAGATATACAAAAGTTAACAGACTGAAATTCAGTATCTGATTCTACAGTGGTGAAGAACATGAGAAAACTAAAATATTATCAGTACAAGAAAGAATTTATACCAGGCCACTGTTGCAGCATATGCCACAGCACACGTTACAGCTGAGATGGTCACCATACACAGAATATCATCATACAATTTCAGAAAGCTTCAACCCATACAGAGCAACACCTTACCATTTCAGAAGGCTTCAAGCACCTGCTCTTACAGAGTAACACCACATGACCTCAGAAGGCTGCAAGCAGTGACCCTTCTTGTTGTTTAGCCCAACCTTTGATACCCCCACCATTAATGCATTGCACCTGTGTGCTCTCTGTTCCCGTTGGTGGTTGCTCAGTGCCCCTGGGCACTCCAGGTCTCATTGCCTCCAGTGCTGCTCACCTGCTTCCCACAGCTGTGGCCCACTGGGGATGAGGCTGGGCTGCAGCCCCACTCCCAATCACCACAAACTGTGTGCCTGCAGGCTACAATTCTCTTTACCTCAGATACTTTGCCTGTGATACAGTAAGCTAGTTTTACTGTAGGCATTTTATGGATTGTAACTCTTTTAACTCTACTTCCACTGACCAAACACATACATTCTTTGTAAATATGAGCAAGCTGGGGGTGGGTGGAGGGTGGGATGAGATGACCAACACAGTAAAAGAGAAAAATACAGGCAGAGGGAGAGACAGATGTCTTGCACCTTATTTTTTTCTCCATTATGAAATCAATTTAATCTACATTTATAACACATAATCTTGTAAAGATCTCACTTGTTTCAGGCAACGAAAAAAGGAAGAAAAAAAGCACAGGCACAGTGGCTTTGTAGATCGCCTTTCAGTCTAGAGAAAAGCACAACATACAGATTTTAAGCAGTAAGTCTTTAGATTATGCTTCAGAAACAGGCTTTATTTACAGCTGGACAAACCCTTAGATTTCTAGGTTTTCCTAGAAATCTGATCTCATCTGATTGCTTACCTTGGGAGAGCAATAAATTTCAAGGTTAATTTTTTTCTTATACCAGTCAATGCCAGATACAATACAGACCTTTTTCCCTCCAAATTAACTGAAACACAGTTTCAACTGAAGAAACAAATCTGTGACTCCTGAAAGAGGTAATGTAGTCATAAGGACCGCAAAAATGGATGGAAAGAGAACAGCACTGTTTGTGTCAGAAGAGACAACGGTAGGGAGCTGTTAGCTGATCCCCAGCTAGAGTCCAGACAGAATTTTACAAGAGGATTTATGTCTAATTATGGGTTTAACCAGACACAATTATTTTTTATCTCTGTAGAATCCCACTCACAGATAATTCTAATACATCTGCACACACTGGCAGACATGTGGTTTGGACAGCCTGTCTCACAAAAAGCATCATCAACTTTGTCCACTTCTAAATACGAAACTTGAATATGCAAGAGAAGACTGAGGTAAATATTCTTCTGTGGTACCTGACCTGAAATACACTACAATGAAAATTGGACTTTCATTAGTATGTTAAAAAGTTACCCAACAGGTTAAGATGTAAACCTATTCCTGGCACATGCTGATTTGGAGAGCAAGGGGGAATCTTAACTTAAAAATTCTCTTAAAGATCCACAGTGACATTCAAAGAGCTCAATTTAACAACACAAGTTTAACACCTCAGTTTCCAAGATGATCATGTTGTGTGGTTCAAGGAAGTTCACTATTTGCATCAAGCTTTTACAGATACCAAAATGACAGTTCTGTTATACAAAATATAACTTTATATACAGTGAGAAAACTGTCCCAAAATCCTCACCAACTACAATTAAAAAAACCCTTAACATTCTTTGTTATGGACATGAAAAAGATTAAAAATCAGCACTGAGGTTTGGAAACAGGTGAAGCCTCATTTTTCAAGGGACTGACTTCACCAGGTAAGTAATACTGTTAACACCTGGATCGCATTTACATGTTTTAGCAGGAGAACACACAAGAATCTGGTACATGCCTCTGGTAGGTCCACACAAATGTTATGCAAACAGTGCAGTCAGTATTTATGGGTTTCTGTCTTCTGTGGAAAATCCCATTTCTATGAGTATACTGGAAGTCTTAGGATAGGGCAGACTTTGTTCTCAGCTAAGATACTGTCTTTCAAACGTGTTTTGATAGAGAGCAAAACCATGACAGTACCATGAAAAAAAGCTTATTGTGCTTTGATAAGAGAAAAGCACTGCAGATGTACAAGCTACACCCTTAGCAGAAAAAAAAAAGAAAAAAATTCATTTCATGAGAAGTCTCTCTCTTAAGATGTCTGAAAGATAAACCTCTATCAAAAATACTAAATATTGCAAAAAAAAAAAAAAAAAAGGAAAAATGCATTAAATTTGATCTCTGTGTTTTGTATTAGGTAAAACTTGAAGAATTCATTTTACTACTGACACTGACTATTATACTCTAATGGTTCAACCCTCCAATTTCAAGAGGTGCTTTAACACGACTCATGGCACATTTTAATGTAATGTATCCAGAGCTCTAGGTGCTGTTGCTCCAGGGCAGTCAGGAGAGCACCTAGAACCAGATTTTCTGGCATTCTATGCTGTTATATGAGTATGAAACAAGGTAAGCCAGGACCACAGACTCATGCAGTGCCTGATAAGAAGCCATGCTTTTGGTTAGGAGTTGAAAAGCCACATATTTATAAACAATGAAAGCATCATATTTATATAAATGAGCCTGATGCTTTAAGATTTTAGCCTTCCTATTTTTCAAATCCTTTACTGCATTAGTGCACAACTCCAAACTCCATATAAACTGTTAACTACTGTCTTCACATTTTGGTCAGACAAAACAGTTCCTCTAGGCCTAAAACTCAAGGACACCCTACAGCCTCAAGCCCCGAAAAATATAAAGAAAAGTGAATTGGGGGTGTGTGGACTGGGGGAAGGTGACTTCATTACCTGAAGCTGTAATGGGAGCATTAACCCCCTGATTTGCAAGTAGACCAAACTTATATCTGTCTGGAAAACTCGTGACCATTACCCCCAGTCTTGGGGAGGCTTTGTCTGCCCTTAATGTACCTGAAGGCCCTTCATTAAATATATCCCCTTTTATCCTTTTAACTTTGTCTGGCCTCTGTTTCTAGGTAAGCCCGAAAAAAGCATCAAGCCAAAAACATGCAGAGGTTTGGAAACCTCTCATAACTTACATTTTTCAGTTTGCCTTTCTGTCTTCACATTCATTGCCAACTATTCTTCCCACGTCTAGTTAATTAAAATGGGAGCTATGAATGTAAACACTATGTGCTTCCACAGTTTGTAGCACAGATACATAATTTCTCAGAGTAGCAGCTTCTTGTGCAGCCACATTGTGTCATATAATACCAAAATTATCTGAAGCTGATGAGGAAATTGGAATGTTCTTGTCCTCAGAGTTCCTGGACTGTCTGTTCAGCATGATCTCCAGTACACTGTAAAATAATTTAGGCTGGAAGGGATCCATGGAGGTCATCTGGTCCAACACACCACACATAGCAGGACCAACTTCGAAGGTGGATCAGGTTGCTTAGGGTTATCTGAGTTCCCAGTATGTTCAAGGATGGAGATGTCACAGTTTCTGTGTAAACTGCTTGATCAATCTTATCTAAAGACCTTACCATCTATTCCATTTCTCTTGCTGCAAACTGAGAGAAGTAGCCTGTTGCTTAGGCATGCACATTTGCCCACTCGCTAAACACAAAATTATGTTTAACACCAACTGTGCTAATGAGCTGGCTTCTGTAACACCTTCAAAAATTAATATTATGTAAATGCACATCCATACCCAATGCCAAAAGGCTTAAAATTTATCGTGCCTACCTTCAGCAGTCTGAAAGTTAGCCTAGATTTCTTTTTGCAAACTATCTACTGTCAACAAAGATGGGGTAGAGTGTTCTTGCATATCTAAAGATGAAGCTTCACAACAGTTCCATTTTTCTCCATACTTTCTCTAACTTAGACCAGGCAGCTAATAACTAGCCTGCCTACCATAATTTCATGTATTTTGTATATTTAAATTGCTGAATCTTTAAGGGGAAGAACTAGAAAAAAGATCAGGGTGAGACAATGCACAGAAACACCAAATAATTATGAAGTAATCAGCAGTGTAACCTTTTGAAAAGTCTGTAGCAAATGCTTTTCTTGTTTTTTTCAAACAGAGCACTAACTTAGTCACAGCTTCAAGTGAAAAAAATGTACAGCAAGTTCAAGTCTTTAACTGATCACCAGACCAACACACATACAAAAAGCATAATTTAATTATCATATTTTTGCCGTAAGCATTAACAATGAAATATTTAACGGTAAAAGTCTTTATGAATATCTAAAGTCCTAATACAAATATCCAAACTATTAGTAAACATTTGTAATTTGAAGTGTTAACAATAAGACACTTAATAACTCTGCATTAAATCTAACAAGCCTTTTCTAGAAGAATATTAATTTACAGTCATTCTTTCTAACAACTCTTTGTACAATAAAAAAAAATTAGATCTGTATTTTTCTGCTTCCCTTTCCCACCCAACCACCCACACAAGTTTTGTTCTCAGACTGAGCTAATAGCCGATCAAGCCTGATGGTAAAAATCCTCTCAACCAAAGGTCCAAGATCTCAGTTTCAGCATCCAGCTCAAATTCTCTTTGGGAAAAAAAAATTCATGTTTTTGTATAATGTGCAAAGTGCAACTTTTATCCAGTGCCATCAGAAGTGTGTGCTGCTATGAACATCACCAAAGAATAAATCAGTAAAAATTAAGACTTCTCAATTTCCGATTGCTGTCTTACAGACAAGTGTTAGATGATGCCTACAGGAATGACAGATCAAGTGGATTTTATCCTGGTGCTTACTGGGTCAGGTACTTTCCAATTTCATTAGGTCAAACCAATGTTTTTACTCAAGTTCTTCAGTTTCCTCTGTAAAAAGGTCAGCCAAATCTGCCACTGTCAACACTGAGGCTTCTGACTGTTTCATGGAAGAGCTCGTGTGGCTGTGGGAAAAAATTGCACGTGGGCATCAGAGAAAGAATCAGTGTAAGAAATGAGCTGTGTGCACTGAAAACAGAGCACACAGTTCAGAGTCAATACCTGCTCAGCTTTGAAGCTCAGCAGGAAAGCACACCTTCTGTCCAGGAAACACATACACTCATCAGCTACTGCTCCTGCACATTCTAAGTAAGATAAAGAGTCCATCTACTGTCCCCAAACGTGGTCAACACCAAACACTGCCAAGGCAGCAGAACATGGGATAATGCACTTTGACCTCTTAACATTTAAGGGATTTGCTTGAGCTGCCAAGCGTAACGTTTAATATTGCTTTCAAAACATTAGCCCTCATGGGATCATTCAACCACTGTACATTTATCTGAATTTTATGTGCAAGAGTAGTGCTACTTCACAGATAAGGAGAATAAATAATTCTTAAAGAGCTAAAACTGAAATCTTTCATAACTACAGCCAAAGATGTGCATGTAATTTTTAGTTTCATGATCTGTAAAAAAGAAAATTTCCTTAAACAAAGGCCTCCTCCTAGATTTGTCATGTGTATACCATCTGGTTAAAAGGTACAAACCTCTTACACTGTCTGCATAAGGAATGTAAATAGCATTTTTGGTCCTGCTCCAATCCATCACTGCTTATAGATTTTGGAAAGATAAACCACAGTGAGAGCTGCTTTCTGTGTCTGCACACCAGCCTCATGTATGACTTAGCATCTGGGCAGTGCTTGCATGGACTGTGAAACCAAGCTGTTGACACAGCACCATTGGATGAGGTTTGTAGGATTAAAAAAATAAAATAACAAAAGAAAGAACCCATGTCCTATGTTAGAGTTTATAACACATTGTTGCTCTAGTGGCAGGCTTAGTGCTACTCCATCAATTGCAATGTTTTTATACCAATGAAAATAGGTAAACTGAAAAGACAAATCATACCATAATACATAAATCATTACTTGGGCTTTTATGAAGTAAAATACAAAAAACATAACCAAAATATTTTCCAGAGAATTAACATACCTTAAGCTGCACATTACTGGAACCAGGTTAAAACTTTTGAAGTCTTAAAACTGTTTTGCCAATCCAAACAGTTTGAAGAACAGTTGAAGGTTATATATAAGATATACATTCCTAACCACAAGAGAAGTATGGTGGAGAACCACCTTTTCATTTTCAGTGCAATAATTACATTTAAAAAAAATTCCAACACATACCTTCTATCTACAGTCTTCAGCATAGTCTGCATTCTCTCCTCTATTGTTGCTTTTATCAGGAACCTATGAACAATCGTAGATCTGAATGTGTTTAAAAAAAGAAAATGCCACCATAAGTGAGCAGAAGTTGTACTTTTACTGCCAAAGTTCATGACCATATTTTATCTCATATTAATGCTATTAAAAGTGTTGAAAATATGCCTCTGGTTTTTAAGAAATAAATGTTAGAAGCGATTGGCAACTTCCATTGACACTTCAGAGAGCTTAGTGCTTCCCTGTAAACACACTCACTTTACTGATCATACACTAAATGAATGTAAGCTGTATTAGCTAAAATCCTAACGTAGATACAGGGCAAAGTTCTGCTTTCTGTGTCCTTACTAGAAACATTCCTCCAGAGCACAAAGAAAAAAGAGTTTTGCCCACTGGTTATATACAATGTTCATAATTCAATGGCACAAATTATTCCAAGAGACAAGAGCTCAATGTGATGGAAAATTAAACCTAACTCCCAGAGTTTTAATAGTATGATTTTTGAAGACAGCAAAATATAACATTTTTTTTTTTAAAGAAGTCAGTAACTGGAGTCAGTAAACACTGGTAAAATATAAAACCCAAAATGTCAATAAACATACCACAAAATGAAAATTCCATTTATGAAACAAAATCTAAAAAAAGAAAGCAGTAATTTAGAAAAGTGACAGGCACCAGAAAGTGAAATGGACAAAAGTCAGATCCAAAGATAAAAATGAAAAAGCACCCCGTGCTCCCCAGTATAAACATTTTTCAAGGTAAGAACCCTTGAAAATGCTTAGAAGGTTTTTAGGTCTTAGGTTGAAACTTTGGCAGGTAACATTTCACAGAAGAGTGCAGGGGGAATGCTTTCAGATTCACAGGCAAAGGTCTACCCCTAAAAAAGAGAAGTAAATAAGAACTGAACTGGTAATAGTTGCACCAGTGACACTAAACAAGAGTGTTCCCTAATGCTAAGTGTACTTGGAACACAGCCCTTTTAAAAAATATGCCTAGCTGAAATCTTAATTCTTAAAAAGTACTATGTATTCTTGGTGGTTTTATCGCAAGGTTTTTGCTGCACCTTTCGTGCCAGCATCATGTAGAATTGCAGTGTGGGCTGTTGCGATCAGTCTTTCCTATGCCCTCACAGTTAATTCAAAATCTTTACCAACACACACAAATATCCACTTGTTCATAAACATTCTTACGCATACATGCTCCTTCATGTCCTCCTCTCTCTTTGCTTTCATTTCCAGAACACAACCCCAATATTATTCTACAGTATTTTTATTCCAGAATTGACTGCAGCTATTTTTCTTCTTCATGGGCTTTAAACTTTTTTTTAATAAAGTCACAAGACCTTAGAAAAAACACGTACATCTCATATGTTGAGGACAAACTTTCTCAAACCTTTTTCAAGTGTTCAGTACTACCTGTGTCAGAGCAACAACAGTGAAACAAACAAGAGACATGCAAACTCACTAATTTCTTCAAAAAGACAGGGGTGAGGGCAGAATTGTGATTTAAAAACTTATCAATTCTAATGAGAGTGTGCTATAACTTTCTTTTTTGCAAAAAAACCCCAACTAAAAAATGTCCCAAAAGAAGGAAAGAAAAAACCCCTAACAATTTATGCAATCTGGAGCTAAGAATGACCAATTAGAAAGAGCCTCTCAAGGAAACTTATAAAGGCCATGCCTGAACGTAGCCATATACGACAAATTATGAGTTTCTTGGACCTGCAAAGGCAAGACATTTCTGGATATTTTTGCACGCAGACGTCCAAAGTTAAAAACTAAGGCATCAGTGGCACACATAAAATAGGGCAGCAGCTGAACAAGGTGTTTTCAGACCTACTCTGGACCATATCTAAACCATTGAACACAATTGTAAATCTTACTTTGTTTGGCCAATACGATGTACTCTGCCAATAGCCTGTAGCTCATGTGCTGGATTCAGAATGGGCTCCACGAGCAGAACATGAGTTGCTTCGATGATGTTTAGTCCATTTGAACCAGTGTGAAGAGGCAGCAGCAAAATATTGATGTTGGGATCATATTTAAATGCAGACAGGTTTTCCTAAAAGGCAAACATCACAGCAGTGTGACAAAAGTTCCTCAATGTCATGTGTGGGGGACAAGACTATATTTTCAACAAATTATGGCAGTTTATACAGGCTCCAGATCGACAATCTTTGCAGGTCTGTCAACCCAGAACAGATACATGACAGTCTCAGGAAGGCATGAACTTCTTGCAACACTGATCAATGTCTCATCCTTAACTTCCATGCCAATGCATCTTTCTCAAAAGCGAATTTACTGTTTATCTCAAAATGCTTTAAACTGGGATATTTTGAGATTATAATTTTTAGAATGATTAAGTTAGAGCTCAAAACTTCAGCCATACAAATTTGCTGCTTTTTTAGTTTCTGAAATGAAGCAGCAAAGTAAAAAGGATCAGATTAACTTCTATGAACTATGATTTTCCCACTGAAAATAATTTAAGAAAAATATCCTTTATGTACCTGAAATTTACTAATTCCATTGATCTGAGAAAAAACCATGTTGTTGTCATACAAAGCTTTTGAAATTATATCCAACACATCTTGCCACTGTAAAAAAAAAAACAAAACAAAACCACACAACACAATAAAAGTAACTCAACATTACGAACAGCAATGACAACTAAAAAATAATAATTAGCTTCCCTAACAAAGAGTAGATTTAAAAGCTTTTCAAACTGCTAGGATTTGCAATTCTAAAGAAAAAATTGTGTGCTAGAAACCAAATCTTTCACAAAACTAAGTAAGACAAGTAATTAGTAAGATCAACCTGAAGAAATTGGTAGCCATTGCAAAACCAGTTTTACCATGTATCAAAAACATCTGGCCATCACATTTAAAATTATCTAGAATTTCTACTGCTTCCATACAAATCCAAGTGCTTGCCCTTTAGAGAAACAAGCTTTCACATCTGCTGACTATGATCATTATTCTTGTTCCAGTTACAAGACTTGCCCTACAAATCCTCAAAACAATCAAGTGGTTGTACAGAGTGATTCAACATTTTGGTAGCTAAACTAGCTCAAACACACATGCAAAGACAAGACAGAAAATGGTGATTAATACCGTTGAGAAAACTAAGGACTTAGCCCCTGGATCTTTAAATTGGATTTTCTTCAGTGTTCGGACCACAGCTTCCACTTTGGTAGAGTGACTTCCCTTTGAAAAGTCAAAGAAGCACATTAGTAAAGCAGGATAGTAATAAACTCCTTCCACATTCATTGCTTTATTAAATCATGTTATATTACGTCTCTTACACATCTCACACAAAGTTAACAATGATCAGTCTTGAGGAAGGGCAGGTTAGGTAGCACTGAACTACTTTTACCTCTCCCTTATAACACACTGCACTAGGATCAGCAGTGTGTAACAGCATGAGCAGCACATGGAGGAATGAAGTGCCATGTAGACACACCTCTAGTTCTGCATGAGGCAAAACAGACAGCCCAAGCAGTGCAGTGGCACCAAACGTGCCCATTAGGCCTCCTGCAGTTTAACTTTGTGGCACAGTCTTTAGTGAATCTTTCAAATGCACATTAAAATTTCCCTACCTTCACATCTTTTGAAAATGGTCCAAGAAAAAAAAGTACCTGAATGCTATTTATGTTGCTTTTGTTTCTCATTCTGGCAACATCAAACTTATGTTCAGTACTATGAAGCTCATTAAGTATACTTAAAACAGTATGAAAATTGTAAATATAATTAATTTTTGAATTATGGTGAGCTGCAATGAAAACATCTTTCTATTCTGCATTCAGAAGTATTTCAGAACTTAATGACTCCAATACTTTATTCTACATCTTGTCCATTTTGATTTATGTGCTCTTCCCTTTCCCCTTAGGTCAGCCAGAGGACACAATGAGATGCAATTCTTTTTCCACCTCCTTCAGTATGTACTTTCTATTACAGCAATTTTACCTCATGTCTTTTTTAAAGAAGCCTTTACTTTCTTACTACACACATAGTCATCTCAAACTGTGCTAGATTCAGCAGGACAAATACTGTTTTATTTTTGTCTGCACCTGTCTTTTGAACATTGAATTAAATATGTTGGCTCACTACAATGACAGATCAAATTTACTGAAGTCATGCTGCATGCAGAATTGGCTGGGAAGGATGTCAGCAGTCTCAGCACAAGCTGGGAACCAATGCTGGGCTGCTTGATCACTCACACATTAGGCACCTAACATGTGAAAGACTTTCTGCAGACTGTTTTACCAAAGGCTGCAGTAAGCAGTGCCATTTTTTACCCAGGGTCCTCCACAGTGATTCCAACCCTGCAATGTCACAGACAGAAACAAATCAGATTTCTTCCACATCATTTCTGTTCACCTGATAGACACTGACTGTCCATCTGACTGTTTGCAAAGTCAGATGGACAATTAGAAATGCTTATGTTGGCAGGTCAGAAAGGATGACACATTTGCAGCCCTATGGCTACTGCCTGTCAATCATAAACACCTACAGTTAGGAGATCTGAGACAAGCTTTTAGGCCTTCCTACATAATTCCAGGATCATTTATGGCTTTTCCAATACTATTCATATCTGATTCAGTGATGACAATCCTGGTTAATCTGTTCTAATTGTCTTGTCCTCAGAAACTGTTTTTGACTTTATCATAGGTTCTTTTCCCTCCTATAACAGATAGCAGCTTTAGCCACTGTTGATTTTTCCACCCTTCAGATTCCTGTGACTTGGGTGTCACAAAGGTGACTTGTACAAGATCAGTAGGAGGAACTGTGGTGCAGAAAAGAACAGCACAATGCTCAAAGTGGTAACAGTCCTTTTGCTCTATTTTTTAAACAAGACAACTGTGTGCAGTTCTTCATCCCTCTGTCTACATTATGTAAACTATATTATTGAACTTATTGAACTTACAAGTGACTAAAACTTTGGCTCACAGCACACACAAAGGTCTTAATTTTATTCTCTATGGAGAGATGAAACTGACAGAAACACTCTTGTTTTTCAGTCCGTCTTCAAAAATGGTATCCCCTACACCACAGTCTGTCATTTTGTTAAATATTCAGATGAGAATTTATAAAGAAATTGGCTAGATCCAATGAATTATGGAACAGTTAACATCAGACCCAAAACTATCCTCTAACAAACAATTTCTGTCTCAGATGACAGGCTGGCAACACCCACTATAATACTGACCAGACACAGGAAGCCTTTACAAAACCAAAACATGCAGGGATGCCAGTAATGTCTCTCTCAGTATAAAATGCTTCCATTTACAGTAGTCCTTTTGCATCTAAGGCATTACCTTAAGACGGTTAGTGTCAGTAAAATAAAGAGTTAGAAAGAAAGAGAGGTAGTGAATACTTTAAGAGACTGGAGGAATTGAGGAATATCAGATTAAAATATGAACACTGAATAAATCACACAATTTTCATATCTGTTCTGAAAGATACTGATCTTAACAGCAGTATTCTATAGAAACTATAGTGAGTTTGTTATTCTTTGTAAACTGTCCTTTAAAAGAATATGAGGTAGAATTTTTTAACAATGTTGCTTGTTTAAGTAGTAAATACAGTGAAGCTACAGTGTAAATTTTTAGTTTTTCATTAACTAAAAAATGAGCTTTGCTCAAGCAAATTCACACAGAATTCATATTTTGGTTTATTTTTGCTTTGTTCAAAGTTTCTGATGCAGAAATACTTCAAGAAAACACTACAACTCTTTACATGGGACAGCAAATGACATGTTCTTTCAACATCTTATTTATGAAATTTGGTTATTCTGGTTATTTTTTAATGCAATTTATGAAACATATTTGAAATTTTGTTAGAAACAGGGTGATATCTCTAAACTGTATATGGAATTAATACGTAAAATGGCCCTGCATGAAGTAGCGTTCTAAGAAGTAGCACTTGAAAAACACAGCCTGTTTACTCCCCCTGGTGCCACATACTGTCAACTACTTTAATAATTCGAGTTAGGAATCATCTACTCATAAAATGCAATTTCATTTGTCCAGGGAGGTTGAAATAACTAGTGTGAATATGGTAGCATTGTCTTCAATACAGGGTAGCAACCCTAGAAATTGTGCAAGGTTCAAGGAGACTTGCACAGATATCATGGAAGTCTCTCAGCACAACTAATTATTTTTAACTATACTAATCAGATTAAATTTACTTAAATTAAATTAACTTTAAACTCAGTTAAATTAAATTTAACTACACTAATCAGATTAAAATTATGACAAGCACTACAATCATACTTTAATCCAGCTGTATCATAATAATATTTTAATAAAAGACAGCAGTATCAGCTAAACCAAAGTATTATCAATGTATTTTACCCGTGCATTTTAGCCCAGAATCCTCTATTTTTTCCACAACTGCACTAAACACAGGTTTTTGGTTCCTACAAAACAATTCTACAAGACATTCATGCAGTGCAAACATGTACCTATGCACTACCTATATGTCACTATTGCTAAAGACTCATGGAGATGCTGTCTCTTTAACCCAATGAAAACTCTCCTTTAGTAAAAAAAGCAGATATAACAGTGCAATCAGGACTGAATTCCTACATGTTTGTGTCTAGAGGTTTTGTCATTAGGACAAACTATTTATAAAACTATACAGTACACTTGTCTGCCTAAAAACACAGTATGCTACAAAACACAACAAATATGCACCGCTGAAAGTTTGGGCCACAGAGCTCCTGCAAACAACTCACCTTTACAGGAATATCATCCTCCTGATTTGCAGCTTCTGCAGTGAAGACATAAGATATTTCTTTATGAGATGTTGTCTGCCTGCAAATGGCACATTTAATTGAGCTCCGGCGGGTGCCGACGCTGTACTGCTGGATGATGATTGCTATGCACTCATTACAAAAACAGTGTCCACACGTCAGCACTGCCCACTGTGCAGGAAACAATAAAACCCAAACACAACACAGTTTCAGTTTTGGGCCAGTGCAAAAGAAAAACAGTGTACTAATCTATGATAAATTACATTTTCATAGAGAAATTACATTATTTTCATGATATTCATCAGATTAAAGAAGAATTTTACAACTGTTGCACTCCAGCTGCTAAAAAGCCTGAATTTTAAAGTTTTCCAGCATAGAGACATTCATGATCTAAAGGAAGTCTCTGAATTTATTGTCCGTTTCTTGCATTTTCTCAGTTTTGAACTTCAGGAACAACATTACAATCTTCCATTTCTATGAAAGATGATTCTTAATGACTTATATGTAAACACAGATCAAGTATTTACATACTTTTTAAAAATTACAAAAATGTTTTGATTTACCTTCTCTACAATTCTTTATCTGTGCATTCATACTAGATTGGTCATATTTAATGAGTGATAGAAAAAATGCTTTAATTTTTCCCTATTGGTAAGTCCAAGACAGCATACTCGGCCTTTAGAAGAAAGATTTTATACAGTGTCGTAATCTCTTTTTTGACAGAATGTATGTGAAACAAGATTGTATTGCAGAAACTGTTCTCCCCTTGTGAGCCTAGAGCATCTACAAGTCAGCTGGAACGTTCCATAATAGAGAAGCAATTTGTAGACCAGTAGTTTTGAAATTCAAAATAATATCTTTTGCTGTACTAGCCTGTTCTTTAGGCCATTCCAAGTGAGAAAACTAGAAGTTTTCATGGGACCAAGTAGCAAAGAGATTGACTAAACCACTGATTTCAAGCAGGTCTTTTAGACTTTGCAAGGTTTTTTGCAACTGTGAAGAAATAGAATGAGAAGTACTTTCATCTTTTCATAGAATGAAAACTGCTATCATCTAAAGAAGCAGTCTTGCTGTTAAGAAAAAATAAAGAAAGTTAAGAGATTATTTTCCTTTTCAGTGAGCTTTTCCATCTCTGAGATAAAGAATAATGGCAGTTAACAGGACTAACAGTTGTTCTCTGTAAAAACCCGTATTACCCTTGGAAGAAGAGCACAGAGGAGATTTTGGAAACATGGCAGGAAGCAGTTCATGCTTACACATGTCCATAATGCAAAGAGAAGCTAAACCTCCTTAAAACAGCTACCCAAAAAGAAAGAGACAATTTAGTTTTACCATAATGAGTCCTTTTATGTTTTTCCCTAATGCATGGTAAGTCAAGTTTAAAATATGGCTTTGTACTTTATGATGTATATTAAGTCTTACTTGAATTTCAACTCCTGCACTTCAGCAGGGAAAGAAATCCACATTGCCAGTATTTATTCTATTGGATTTTGCTACTGTATGAATAAGTAATATCTTTTTCTTTAGAAGAAAAAAATACTGTCAGTAAGAACAATTACAGTAAAATATATACAATAGAAGTTTACCTACTTCCTCTTTCTGTTAGCTAATAATTGGGAAATAAATCTTTCTGCCAGAAGTATAACTTCAGATTTATAAAACAATCATGAACTCACATTTTTGTAACACTTAAGCAGATGTCAAAAGCTAAAAGAAGTACAGGTGCTTGCATCTGTGAAAGATGTTACTTCAGGGGAGAGGCTGGTTGGTACATTACAGAAACAGCCCTATTTTTCAATACAACATTCGTTTAAAAACAGATCCTGACAATTTGACACACAACTGGCTCAGCTCCAGCTAAAGATGTTCTAAAAGTAAAACCTGCTGAATAAGTATCTTACCTGTCTTCCCAGCTGACGTGCACAGATTGGACATGGTTCTGGGTTAACTCCTCCAGTGGTTTTGTCCTGAGACTATCAATTAGAAAAAAAAAAAAAGCTTTGTGTTTTGTTATTCTATATTTAAAACAAGCTTCTAGAAAAAGTGAATAATGAAGCCTTTAAAAGAAACCAAATCAAACCAAAACACTGTCTGATTAAATTAAAAACATATCCATGTACTCAAGTCCATCTTGAGGAGTTAAAAAACATGTAACTTATGGTAAGCAAAAGGAGCACAAAGGAGCACTTTTCATTCTGCAGTCCTTCTGATGGCATCTGTAGCTCTATACCAGCTCTGAATAATCATGGTAAAATACAAGCTTCAAACAAGAACCTCCACATATTTTCTATCAGCTTCACATGGTTGCAAAAACACTTAAATTTTGCTTAACTATGCTTACTTTAACATAAATGCACTTACTCAAACACTATGATTAAAATAACATATAATAAATGCAGATTGTCTGTTTTGCTAATTTTAACACTCACTTTAACTCCAGATGTGACTATCCTGTTTCAGGTAAGCTCTTAGTAAAATACCAAAGGTATGCAGAGACACATAATTTTATAAGGCTTCTACTAAACATGGCCCAGTTAGTTTTAATGAAAACCCTACACATCTAAAACTAGTTCATAGTTTAATAAGCATGTAATTAAACAAGTAACTAAAATATATATTGCAATAAATAATTTTATGAGCACACAGTGGCACAAAGAACAGCACAACAGCACACCGAATTTCAAAATATAATGAATCTTCACATAAAATACGATTTAAGATGGAAGCTTTAAATAAAAATAATGGTAGGTTTCTTCCCTTCCACAGGTAAACAGAGCACTTAGGTAAAGATCAAGGAACCATTAATCTTACTTTCTCCAGATTAGTGAGGTACAGAAGTTGTCCTAATTTCTTTTGAAGCTGTGATTTGGCAACTGCCTTGTCATTCAGAAGTTTCACTCGATTTTGCTCTACCTATGAAAACAACATTAAATATGTGTTAAAAGGGGGAAAAAAAAGTTAAGTTTTACAATAAGGCTTAAATTGATTTTTTTGGTGAAATTCAGCTGATGAATTTACTGGTTACAGACAGAAAACCAGCTCATGCTGGAAATTTAAATGTGCTTCTCCCCAAGCAAAACTGATTATCTATTCCTTTCCTGTACCCAGTATGAACACAGCAGTGTGAATGGGCTGAGATGCAGAAGACGCACAAAATTGTTTTTTATTGTTTTATTTACATTATTGTCTCTTTAGAGAAACAAAATTAAATTAAAATAACCCAGATTTTCAGGAGTTTCTTTTGAAGTTCCTCCAATTTATCATCTCTTTTCTTCCAATTGTGTACATATATATACACCAAATTAACTGCTGGTTCCAAAAACAATGTGTAAGAGACAATAATTTTCTTTATATTTCCTAGAAATTTCCACTTTTGATTTAACTTATACAAAGACAGAAACATCGAGCTGACTTTTTTAAGATTAATTACAGCTGATAGTGGAGAAGTTTAATACTGCAAAAGTGGCAGGCACCTGAAGGATGAAGGCCAAAGAAATGGGTGTTTCTTTTATGGCTGCATATACATGCATAAATCTTAAGACTTTATTAGGCATTTGTTAAGCAAAGTACTCCTTTTTAAAAAATGTTCCAATACAGAGATGAAATTTATTTCCTTATAGAAAGAAGCAATTTTATCTAACTTAATCTCACAGAAAAAAACCCACAAAATGTGCCTATAGAAAATACACTTCTATTGGTGTAAAAAAAAATTAAGAGGTTAAATCAACCCAGCATTTTCTCTATCATCATAACCAGAGTCAGGGATAGCTCAGAAACTTCAAAATACTGAAAAAAATATTTTTCTTTGATGTGCTTATTTCTGTTTTATATGGGTATTTGTGAAAAGTATCAATATGGGTAAGGAATCAGGTCAACTTAATTTTCCACCCAGCTTGGAAGACTGGACAACTGTAGAAAAAGGAAGCTGCTGCTGAAAGAACAGCAGACTCTTGGAAACACGCCACTCTGTCAGAAAGCTAACAAAAATATATCAGAGTAACAGTTACAAGCTCAAAATGGCCCTATGTACCTAGAAAAATTCAATACTCCACCAAGCCTGTCTGAAATGAAAACAGAGACACATTACAGACATTACACATAGATCCAGATGTGGATTTTATTTTTGTAGGAGGTGGATTCCTTCAAAGAGAAACCATTCTTTCCTACCCAGTACCCTACCTCATGTGGCTCTATAATGTGGAGCACTGGTGGATTTGGTTTTGGCTCATCAGGGTGACGCACTCTCAGTCGCTCTGTCGCCATTGCCAGTTCATCAATAGCAGACACGTGATCCCTAAGGACCATCCAGTACTCATGAAGTAGCTGTAAGAAAACCCCAAACAAGTGAACAGCAGAACTGAATTGAGTTACACTTGCATGACTTCCCCATACAAGGTAAAATGAAATGTGAGAATCTTTTTGGAGGAAGAGATAATATTTCTTTACAGCATTCAGCCATAACAACAACTAATTATAATGGAAAACAAGCAGGATAGACATCATTTTGTCTGCTCTCTTCTCCAGCCTCTCTGGATAAACAACTAGAAATAGCTGTTCCTCGTTTCTTCTACAACTACTAGTACTACAACAATTAATGCTACTAAAAATTCAGAAACAATATGCCTCGCAAAACAAACAAAAAACCCTCCAAACTCTGCTGAATAAAAAAAAGAGTTATTTCACAGAATATCATTCTTGTAGCTCAGTGTATATTGGAGTAGTACAGACCACTGAATCAGTACTTCCAAGTCACAACAGACAGAATCATAACACTGTCTTCATTCTCATTGGCATATTAGGCCCATCTTTTGTTTCCTAACATAAAGGCACATGAAAAAACTGTGTTCCTTCTTCACAAAATTGAAGGTAACCTGAATTTCACAAAGGACCAGTGTTGGATTTGCTGAGTCTTGTTACATTCTGATTCAAGTAAACAGATGAACACATTTAATTATATCTTTATATTGTCTTAATAGATGCAATTACATTACTTAGAAATTTGATTAGTAGCCAGTATAGCTTTTAGAAACAATTAGCTCACATATAAATAATTTAAAATCAAATCCTATAATAAGCACTGTGGAAAAGGTTGATAGGCAAAGCCTAATTTCAGGAATACGACTTAGATGTGCTAATATTCAGCTGCAATTTGTTGACAATAAACTAAATGGATCACACAACTGTTTGATCACCATGTAATTTACTGTACCTTATATTCCTTTTTCCATGCTTCAAAGAGCTCCAGGAATGCGCTCCCTTCCTCGGTTACTCTAACATCCATGCGGTGAGCTTTGGCAAAGGAAAGAAGAGCTTTCAAAGCCCTCTCAGTTTCACTGGTTGCCCAGAGCCCTCTGCTTGTGGTGGGCAAACGGTCATCGACAAGCCCTTCTTGGTCTTCTATCATCTCCTCGAATATTGCCATTTGGCCTTTAACACTTCAAAACAAACCAAACACAGCACTTAGCACTGATTTTGTACTTCCACATCCATCTGTACTTATTCATCATCTATTTCAGCCTTCTTATATATGATTAAAGGATAATGCAAACCAAGCCAATATAAACAGCTGTTTTATTACCTAATCAAAAGCTTGCTTTGAACACAGTGACCTTGGAACCAATCCTCAGGCCATTCTGTCAGCCCCAAATCATCTATAGCTTTTGTAAAGGCTTACACATCTAAATTATCTTTCAATAGTTATTAATGTCACATTCATTTAAAAAATTTCAATTCTGACATTTTATAGAAGGAAGAATTACAATTAAACTGAGATGCAATTTTTGCTGTGTATGGCACTGTGAATGAACAGTACAGCTTCCCAGTTCTCTCCTTGACAAATAATGCTAATTTTAAAAGAATCCATTCTTCCTGGTTCCAGCAGTCATGAAGCAACATAACCCCCACTGGTAAAGATGTCTCAAAATGTTTTCTCAGTAACCTCAAGACTTTTCAATCCGATTTTGACATTGTGAGGGATATGAGAGAGAGAAGCCCAAAAGAAAGCATGCATAGAGCTGTAATTCATCTTTCTGCCCACTATGCGCACTTCTGACATCCCGTGCTGATGTCACCCTTCTTTCAGCTTCATTCTGTCTGAGATCTCTTCTCACTGAAACACTGAATGAGGGTGGTATTACACCAGTTGCAGCTGGACTACAAATAAATATTTGCACAAATAGGAGTATGTGTTAAATTAGCATACTGTATTCATACACATGCTTTCTGAACATGCCACCCCTTCATTTCAGATGTACGGTCATATTATAGTGGCTTGAGGGAAAGTGGCATGTATTCATTCCTTGGACACCACTTCTTCAAATGAAATTTACATAGAAAATCAAACCTAACAGAACTGCTATCAAAGCCATCTGCAAGAAGTCTCCATCATTTGGTCATAAACTTATTTCAGAAAACATAAACCAATCCAACTTTCACTTTTTCTAACAGTGAGAAATTTATAAAGCTATGAACTTACCTATGCATAAAGAGCTTTGACTCATATTCTGTGAACAATTCGTCAGCCTTACAAAAGACACAGCTGCAATATAGAGAATTGAAAACAGATGCATTCAAAATTTCAGAAACCAAATTATCATAAACCCCTATTCCAACATAAAAAACTATACAAAATTCTTAAAAAAAAACAAAAACAAAAAAACCCAACAAAATAACAGTCATATGTACACTAATATAGCTGACACCAGAAGATTTTACTAAAATAAAACCACGGGTCATGAGTCTAACAAATAGATCTGTGGTAACTGTGTGCATACAGCTCCTGAGTATATAACAAAGGCTTCAGTATGTTATTTCAAATAAAGGAAAATGTAGTAATACACATCTAAGTTATATTTTCTGTTTTCAAGACCTACTTGTTAAGTGGCAGTCTAACAGGTCGCAAATGGCAGATAGTGGCAGCCTCAATAACCTGCTTAGAAGGAGGCCCTTCTAAGTTTTTCACTGCTTCTCTTACAATCTTCTGGAACTTCTTCACTTCATCCAGCTGGGTTGTGAGGAGGTACTGAAGGCCTCTGCAGTCACGGAATCTGATTTAAAGAAAAAGGGAAATTACACCAAGACACAAAATCCAAACACAATTCAGTATTTTAAAGTAGAAGAGAAGTAGCAAAATAGCAATGTAGGACAAGAAACAAAGCTGGTACCACAAGAAAATGCTTACTCCTACTACATGCAATGCCATCAGAAACCACTCCAGTGTATCCCCAGAGCTGATGCCTGGTATTTTTAGAACAGAAAGACTCTTTCCAAGACTTGAGAGGTGTGGCCAAATACTAGTAGTGAACACAAACCTGCAACATTCTGGTCCACAATGCAGATCTACTAAATGGAAACCACTGCACATACAGTCTTACTTGTGTCTGCTGGCCAAAAAAATGATTTTGAATGCACCTCTGCAATTCACAACAGACACATGCACGCATCACAAAAATACACTTCATTCAGCAAGTTAGCTTTCAAAGTTAAATATATTACATGGATATAACAGTAAACTATTCTCCAAAAACCTAGCCACCTAGCTGTCTTTTTTGATTGGAGGGGTGTTGCAGTAATGAACACAAACACAAGTTAAGCCCTTCCCACATTGTGTTTCTCCTGAGAGCAGAAGTCTCTTGCTGAAAGAAAATGCATCATTCCTACAAGGTCTGACATTGACAAGACTGTGGTTCTACACAATATGGAAAGTTTGATCCAAAACATACATTTTGTACAGTGCAGATAGCAAAGCACAGGTTTAACACAACTAAAGCTTGGCATTCAATATAACCTACTTCAGTAATGTGCATTTTAAAATAACACAGACAAAGTTTGCCTAACCAGGTAGTCCGAAAATAAATGCAAATTGCAACCACAAATCTGTTGTTAATATCACCAATTGCTAAATAATACCAGCTTTACAAAAATCTCCCTCACTATACCATGGATTAACCATATCCAGTACTCAATTCAAAGCACCAGTTGCTTCCACCATTGACCAGCAGAACTTGATACAACACTGTTTTTTAAGTTTTATCTCATATGCTAAAATAAATTGAAAAGGAAGTTAGCTTTATCCCTGTGTTATAGAAGAAAGTTTAGTCACAGATAGCTTTTCCAAAGTTATACAATCTGTAAGCAGCAATTCAAGAAGATACTTTCTAAACACCTCATTTCAATCAAGGAAAAAAAAAATCAGAGTGACACACCTAACATACAGATGGATGGATAGGCATAAAAGTTTTGCATGAACACGCAAACAATCCTTTCCTCATATTTATTTTGACCAGAATGTGATGCTATCATTCTCAAAGAACCATGACACTTTCATATCCAGACTCACAGACTGGCTGAGGTTGGAAGGGGCCTCAGGGTGTTATCTTGCTCAAATGCTCTCCTCAAGCAGGGTCACCTAGAGCTGGCTGCCCAAGACCATGCCCAGACAACTTTTGAGTATTTCAGTGATGGAGACCCCACAATGTCTCTGGGCTACCTGTTTCAGTGCTCAGTCACCCTCACAGTAAAAAAGCGTTCCCTGATGTTCAGAGGGAACATCTTGTATTTCAGTTTGTGCCCATTGGCTCTTGTGCTGAAGAAAAAAGAGGTTAAGTCTTGTGTCTTTATTTAGATTATTCAATAGAATTATGTTAAGTACTGAAAATAAGAGATATATTTACTTCCATCAAGAAGAAATTTCAACCTTTTGGAATCGTGATGGCACAATGGTCAGAGTGGAGGATACATCTTTACACATGGAATTAAAATATGTGTATTTTAAGTATTTAAATTTATATACATTTTATAAACTTGTACACAGATGTATATACGTATATTTATATATTTCATAAATATAATAAAAATGTATTTGACTACAACATGATTCAGAAAGATTGTATCTAAAAGCATAAGTTCATGTATCTGAGAAAATTGCCTCAAGTTAAACCACCAGAGCACTGTTGTTCCTATGTCTCCCTTTTCTGTGATGGACTTACAGACCTTCATCCAGAATGCACAAGAAGGGGTTAGGAGAAGAGGGTCTATTCAGTCCTAAAATTAAGGGGCGACCTTATTGCTTTCTGTATTTATCTAACTGGAACATACAGAGAAGACTGAGTCAAACTTTTGTCAAAGGCACCTGGAAAAAGAACAACAGACAATGTACAAATGATGCAACACAGAAAATATTAACTAGGTAAAATAATTTTAATAACTTTTTTTTTCCCACCAAGTGGGCCAAATACTGGAACAGGCTTCACACAGAGACTATGGCATCTCCTTCCTTGCAGATACTTAACAGGTCAAATCCTTGTGCAGCTTTACTGGATTGAACAAGGATGGGTCTGGATCCTAAGATGAGGGTTGATTTAAACAACCTTTGAATGTCCCCTCTGAATTAATTACTCTGTAACTGAACCCAAAAAGAAATGGCATACTGTTGTCTTGAACTTGAAACCAACTTCAAATTCTTTGCTCAGAAAAAGAGTGATGCTATTTTATGGTGTTACACAAGGATTTTCTGATATTGTTTGTCTACTTTCCATTTAAGCAAGTCAATTTCTTTTACAGGTTACTCAATTTTAATATAATAAACTTTGAATTCTTCTTACTCAGCAGTTCCATGAGTACTGAAGACTGTAAAACCACAGTAGATAATGCAGAAGAACATTTCAAAGAATGCTTATCTAAGAGAAAACAGTAATTTTCTTGCTTTTCTTTCCAAGTTGTCTATCTAGCTGTGCTTTTTCAGGGACTGGTTTTGAAACATAATTGCAGTCCAGATGCTCTGAAGCAAAAATGTCTGCTATCTAATTGCAACAGCTAGCACAAATGAGTAAGAAGACCTGAGTAGATTTAAGTGTATTTAACAGCTGATTTCAGTTATTCTCTTACTTCTCTGCCATGGAGAGTTTACTTGTCTCCTGTTTGTAGTTGCAGGTTATTTCGTTTTGCACACGTTGAACAAGCTCCTCATCAATGGCATACTGTATTGCTGTCTGGATGACATCCAACCACCAAGGAGAACCTGAATGTATCTGTATGAAAAACAAGAAATTTATCCTTGAACTTTCAACAGAAAACCAATCTACTCATTGCAGCAGAGGCGTATACTGATCTTTAGGCCATAGTCAAACACAGACTGGCTAATTCCATGAAAAGTGGAGGATGAGTGTAATTAAGAAACACCCCATCTTCTATTGATGTGTAAACATATGACTAAGAAACTGTCTACATTCTCCACATCTTTATATTCCTTCAGCAGAATCAGATTCATCAAGGCTATCTACACAGAACAGCCACGTAGAGATATTGTGATCTCAAAGTTTCTTCCTTCTCTCTCTCTCAAAATGAGATAGAGATCATTTAATCAGAGAAAGCAAAGTTCCCTGCAAAATTAAGAGAGCAACACTGAAGTGACCTTGTAATTTTAACAAGAGAAATAAGATAAACAGCTAGAGTTCTGGACAAAAAGATGAAAACATTATTTTTTAAAAATGCCAAAAGTCAGAGACAAAACATTTAAGAGGTACCTGCCTTTCTCTGAAGTTCTCGAATAGTTTGAAGAACTGGCTGTAAGGCCTGATGGGCTTCTGCAACTTCTGCATTGGATTTACTCATATAATGCTGTCGGAGTTGTTCTGCCTGTATGGAAATAAGAGTTCAAACTATGCACAAATCATATCTGTGAGGAATACTGCAAATGTAAAAACTCCCCAACTAATATAGTGCTTTTAAGTGGTTACCTATCTATCTGCTACCCACCTTCATTTGTAAGCAATATTTAGCAATATTTTTTTTCCCCTAGAATCCAGCATCTATAAGTAAGCCACAAAAAACATGTAAGAAGACAAATTACTATAAAGATGCTAATTGTGCAACTTTGCTTTTGGGTAAGGCCAATCAACACAATAGGAATACAAAAGGGAACTGGAATATAACTCAGTATTTTTTACTTATCTGTGTTGAATAAGCAAACAATAAAAAGATCCCAGAACAGTCTGAGAACAGGACAATTCAACTTACCTAGATATAAAACTTACTCATAAAATAACAAGTGAGGCTTATGTATGTAGTTAACTCAAAAGCTATTTTTTTTGAAATGAAAAGAATTGTTGTTTCTTTAGTTAGAGAAAATGCTGAGGGGACAAAAAATAAAAACATGCTCTACAATATTTATGTAAAAACAAAAGATGTTTACCTCTTCTGCAAGTCGGCTATCACGCAAAGTCGGGGGAATTCCTGGGTGCTTTGCCAACAATTCCATCAAATTATGTGTAGAATGAAGTCTCTAAATATACACAAAGTCAAGAGCAATAATTGGAACATTCGTGACAGGAAAGAGCAATGAAGGCTTACAGCAAGAAATTAGCATGCATTTGAAATAGTTTTGTCTTTCTCTGCTAATCTGGAAGCACGTTATAAAGAAAAGAAAGATTCCTTTCCTCATTTTACTGAGATAGGAAATGAAATATTAAAAAGACCTTCTTTAACATCTCAAAAACAAATCAGCAAGTAAGTGTGATACCAGGTCACCAGATCCTATGCCATACTCACCCTCCTAATTAAAACAGCCCTTGACTATAATGAAAAACAAATTAGAGCACTTTCTTTGGTGTCTTTTGGAATATTCTGAGGAAACAATTCATTTAGCCTATCTAAAGCAAAATAAAGTGTGAGGAAAAGACCAGATACCAAGAGCTATAATATTTTTTCATATTTTCAATTTCTCTGAAATAAAAGATATTGAAAAACACATAACCTTTTGGTATACTTTTAAGGAAAATAAATTTGATTATTAATATAAGGAAACTCTGCGCCTCTTCTCTGGCTTCACCCTTTGTTTCTCAAACCAGACCAATAATATTATGCTTCCTGCACAGCTCCCACAAACTCATACTAATAACCTCCACTATCATAAACTTGTGCCCTTCTCACATCCCGGATTCTCTTCACCTCTGCCCTATTACTATCTCAGTCACTCAAGAGGACTGGCCAGCAGTGATTTGCCATTATCTCAAAGAGCTAATCCTACACAACTGAGAAAACTTAACAGAAGTAAAATTGTATTACACTAAGACAGAATTAGTCAGAATATATTTCAAGGGGGAAAAAAAAACTTAATTGGATTGTACAATCCAGTAGAACAATTTAATTAACAACCTATGTGCAACTTAAGAAGTTTACGCTAACACGTCTATGCTAGGCCAAAAAAGCCACCAGGAAGTCACAAAGGAAAAGGAAGAATCAAAGAAGCACAACAGAGACATCAGGTGACCACACGCAACACAATCAAACAATAATTTGCTCACAGAAGCAAGTAAAGAAACAGACAACTGATCACTTGTCTATGTGTCACTAACATTTTAAATCTCTTATGCTGAAGAAAATTTTGGTCAATTAAGAACCGATAGCTCTTGAAGAACTACAAATATGTTACTTAGAGAACCATGACTTTTTTACCAGGAAAATATATTAATATTTTTAAATAGTATTCAAAAGGCATGAAATCAAATGCCCAAAGAGAAAAGGCACTTCAATTCTTTTCTATGTTTTGATGCCCTTTTATCTTCTGCAGCGCAAATATTTTATTATTCTCTATCATCTGGCACCTTAATATCACTCAGTGCCAACCCTGCATTCTGTAATTGAAGGATGTAATATAACACTTAATGTGAGCAGTCACAGGCACCAGACTAGGAATTCAGCTTGTTAACTGTACTGCAGAACAGCAGGTGGAGATCATACACTGCTTCAGGGACATCAAGAAAACTCACAAGCAGGTTTTTAGATACACAGTAGCTTTTTTTTTTTTTTTTTTGACAGATTCCTATCTAAAGATTGTAGTCAAAATATTGTTATCATTACAGCAGGCTGAAAGAGTAATTCAGCATACCACTGGGAGGAAGAAAAGACTGACCTGTTAAATTAAATCTAAAGTATTCCAGTTCTTAACTACGTCTCTTTACATTGCAATGCTCACTCACTTGCAAGGAATCTGTTTTGAGCTTTTCTTTGTGTTCTTCAGATGATCTTAGTACTTCTCTGTACAGCTCCGCAGCCAATGCATATTCTCCTGAATTAAAAAAGAGTAGCAAAAACACAGACACGTTGTGTTGGTTTTTAAATATACAAACAGTTATGACCTTACAGGTGTTACATTACTTGTAACATATTAAAATGTTCTCAGAGAGACTGTATATTAAGTGCCTGTCTTCAAGCAATTCTTTCCTAGTCATTCCTCCCCACAGAAAACGGGTAAAAGACAGAATATGATATTTTACAAAGAATAATGCAGTTTCCAAATTAAATATCTTTTGTGACTGTAAGATCTGCAAACCTCTTAATCTTAAAATATGTATTCATGGTTGCATAAATCCAAAAAAAACCCCAAAAAACTCATGTTGCACTTAAAAAAAAAAATCTACAACTCATGGCAGTGATGCATTACTAAATTTGCACTGCAAATGCATTATTCACTCTTTCAGTGAAAACCATGAAAGTTGTGTCATACTTCAGAAATGCAGAAATGATTAGGTACATGCAGGGAGCCTAACTACTGATGTAAGCTGCCATCATCACAATCACTTCTCAGAAAATCAATTAAAAAGAAATACAAAATTGAAGTTGTGTATGGAAAAGCAGTGCAAAAATAAATCCATTTTAATTTGCTTTTGCAACTGATGGAAATTTACTTAGCCAGTAATACTCTTAGAGACTCTTAAAACATGGAGAAGTACAGAGAAAAGAAATGCATAAAGACAGATAAGAGAGTAAAACAACAAACATCATCCTATCTATAATGGAAGTGTAACAATTCCATGTCAACAAGATTTGCTGCTTCTTAAATTGAAAGAATTGCATTTGTAAGGGTGTAGTCCTACAATACAGGATTGCAATTACTAGTAACCAGCCAAAAGCTATGTGCTGAATTTGCTAATGTGAAGCCTGTTAGGCCTCCCTTGAATTTTTCTTGACCTGCCTGAACCTTTTACTTGGCTTAGCTGTGACAGCAATTTCTGTAATTTATTAGGTGCCTATGGCTAATTTTTAGTATATTTTTAAACTTTTGTTTATCTTTGTGTGGTACAAACACAGCTTTATATAGACAGCAGTAACAAGCAGTTATTCCATGTAGAATGAGATATTTACAACTACCACAATGATGTAGTGTAGGGAAATACAGGCCTAGTAACAATAGCAGAGGCTATTGACAAGTAAAGATATAGGATGCAGTGTAGAGTAGAGCCATGGGATGCTAAGAGATGGTGCACAGGCTTGGCAGTGAATAAGAAAGCCATGGCTATAAACAACTCACCCACAGTCAAAGAAATGCAGACTTAGAGCTGGACAAAACTGGTTTTAGGGGCAACAAAGAGAACAAAGAAAGAGTATGTAACATTCATAAAAGGCATCATGTCCACTAAATTCGGCGTTTTCATGGAGCTGCAGACCAATGAAGAAAGATGCAAACATGCTAGCAAACATAAAAATGACCCTCACTGGACTCTTGTGTGAGGAAGAAACCATCAACACAAACATCTTATTCCTACTGATGAAGGTAGTGACAACTGGCAATTGCACTGCCACCACATCTACAAAACGACTGACCTTAGGGTCCAGATGAGCCTAAGTAGAAAGGTGAGCAGAAAAGCAGGACAAGTAGAAACAAGTGTGATTGTTGCTCTTTTCTTTGCTTGTAGCAATAAATTTGGACTAATAATAGTCCTATAAGTTTTCAATTATACTAAGATTAAATTCATGGCCTCACTTTTATGTAAGGTGTGCTTCCCCCTTCCTCATAAAGAAGACTGACTGTAAGGGTAACACTGGGGGAGCAGTTACAGACCAGAACGCTGCCTCTTTTGTCCTGCTTTTGTTTCTCATCAGACACAATTTTTATCCATCTGGTTTTCAAAATAGGCCAAACGTAATTTTTGCTACTAGTGCATTTCAGAAGCATTACATCTTTATGTAACTCTTTTTAAACACTTAACTGTATCAGAAACACTTATCTCCAAGCTGCAATTGTAACAAAGTATTTCAAACCCACTAACTATAGATTAAAGAATCTGAATATAATCCTTCTGTGAGGCAAGTAAGAGAAAAGGCAGTTTGCCTGTTCTCTTTGGAGGAAGACTTTGACATGAACTGGAAAAATTCAAACAGCATGTCAACTTTAGAAGAGCTTGGAAAAGTGGCATTTTTACACATTCATAATGGAGTAATTTTAATTTATTTTTATTTTGTGGGACACTCAAGATTGATATAATTATTTTTGTTTCTCTTTCAAAGCTTTTTTGCCCTGTAATTCAGACAAAATCAACATTGACAGAGCTGTCTAGCAGGAGCAGCAAAAGGCATCTTAGCAGTCAGCATAGCAGTTTGCATGGCTGGGGGCACAAGGGAAACCCAGAAAGCAGTACAGGTAAAACAAAAGCAGGTTAAGTACAATTACACATGTATGACTTCTTTTAACCTCCCAGTACACAGAGATAGAGCATATCCTTTACTCCTGTACTGAAAGGAGTAAAGAATATGCTACAGCCCTTTGGTCTTACCTTTAATGATATGGATACCAGCTAAGCCATTAAGAGCACACACCAACTGTCGGTGAGCTTCTTCACACTCTGTTCGACATTTCTTTTGCAGAGATGCCAGTAGTTCCTCCATGGTCATGGTGCTGAAAAGGAGAGCAAATTTGAAACAAAATGACAGTACCAGAAAAGTAAGAGGGTCATCCTGAGCAGCATAGCGGATCATTACATGCATCCAACATATTGCAAATGCTTTCTGAGATTTCTTTACTTATTAAAAGACCTCTAACTGTCAGATTTTCTTCCTGCTAGAGCTTTACCCTAACTTGAGTGCATCCAGAGGTTGCCATCTCCTGGAACACCAAGAAATAAGGAGCAAGAAGAAAATTTGAACTTGGTAAAATAATAATTTATGGGGCAAAATACTGTTCTCCTTCTGTTAGTGGTGAACTGCAAACAAGCAAAATAGACCTCATTTTGTCAAAAGCTGTTCAGATGAGAACAGCTATGACAGACTACACTTCTACCCTCTGCTAGCAATCTAAACACAAAACACATAAAGTGTCAATGTAAAGAAGAAAATGTGTGAAATGAGAACTGAGAAGACTAGCAAAAATCATTCTAAACTTCCTTTTCTACATTTGTCATATCTGCAAATTATAAGAGGAATTTTACTGGAAGAGAATTAGCTTCATATAAAAATACCAGAAATTATGAGAAAAGAGAGAAGCAGGAACAGAAATGAGGAGGATGCAAGAAGGAAGCTTGAAGGATACCTTGGAGTAAAGCCACAGGTTAAAGAATCAGAGGACTGATATGAAGAGACAGGAGAGTAAACAATAGCAACAGCCTACAACAGCTGACCAGAGGCTGCTTCTAATACCAATTGCTGCTATTAGACCAGACACCTCTCCCCTCCACTGAAACCCTGCTCCTCAGCCTCATTCACCAGGAGAAGCATTTACTATTTGGTGTTCAGCACTGTGGAACAGAGCACTGAACTCTTGCACAGACTGGGCTCAAATTATGCTGGAAGGATACCCTTGCCTAGGTTTTTATTTTACCTTCCTTGCAACATTGTTCCAGTTGCAGAAACTGATTCTTGGTTTTATAGTACAGTGTTACACCAGAATTAGCTTTAAATCAATATAATCACTATTCATAATTACTGAATTCAGCAAAGGAAATGGTAAATACACATAACATATGCTGATACTTCCAACATTGCTACTTACCTTTCATTTTCAAAACCATCAGCAGTTCCAAGAAAAATTGTTAGAGCAGAAAGATGTACATATAAAATATGCAATTTGATATACAGCCTGAGACTACCAACTAAGGCAAACAGAAGTGGTCTTTAGACAATCTCAGTTAAATTAGGAGAACCTAGAAAAATCTCTTTTGAGAGCTTTTTTTTTTTTTTTCCTGAGTAAACATCATTTACTGCCTTCACTACACAGGTGGGAGAAAAAGGTCATCTATCATAGAACAGAATATGCTCCAAATTTGGGTTTTTAACTCAGGCCCATGTCTCTTATCTATATGCTTCAGCATCAACTTTCTTATTTCAGTAAATTTCTCTTATTCATCAAAGGTCCTAGCAGAGAATTTCTTTATTATTCTCCTACATATAACCAAAGACAGGAACCAAATCTTCTCTATTCTATTCCAAAGACAGGAACCAAATCTTCTCTCTATTCATTCATAGGGAATGTCAGTGCTTCAGTCAAGTTCGAGTCCCAAAAAAAAGGTATGTAAATAGTGCTGGGAATTGACTTTTCTTTGTACACATGACTTTAAGAAAGATTTAATTTTCATTGCTGGCTTTTCCATCAGTTACTATGCAGCTGTCACTGTGCAACCATTCCACCAAAATCAACACAGTATGAAGTTGTTCCCACCATACTCTGCTCAGTTTACATATATTTCATTTATACTACACTGGCTCATTTTAATGCAAATCTTGTATGATGGATGGGAATATTGATTTCTCCTATGTTTGAGTCCCTTGCTTCCACATTAGCAGACTACCACAGTAAGTACTACAACACAGTGTCTAACTATTGCTCTCTGCTCAGGCAAATGCAGTCAGCTTCAGCTGCTTAGGCACTGCAGGTGCCCTGTATAACAAAGGGCAAGGAGTAGGACACAAAACTTCTAACAAGGATTGAAAGAGTCGGAATAGAATGGATGGACTAGGAAACAGTAGCAAAAACACTGGCAGTGCTAAAAGTTGAAGTTCTTTGCTACCTGTAGCTTAAAAAAGAAACATAGACACCACTCTGAGAGGCTGGAATTGAAACAGCCTGTTCTTTCACAACCGCCTTCTGACTAACTGAAAAGGTAGCAGATACATTTCACAACAGAACTGGCAACATGTTTTTTTTTTTTTTGGCGTAACAAAAACTGAGACCAAAGTGATACTTGCAGAGCACTTGTGGGAAAGATGATTGTGAAAGCATGCAAATGAAAGAGAATTTGTACAACTTTCAAGTTTGGATCTATATTTACAAATTCTGCAACATCACATTAACATTTTCTTTGAACTAAAGAATTATTCCATTCTGTTGATTCAATTCTTTCATTGTTCTCATTCGTAAATGTGAGCTTTGTATGAGACAAAAAAAAAAAAAAAAAGCAGTGGGCTTATTTTAAAACAAAAAAAATAATCTCGTTTGTTTCATACTCAATCTGTTACCTACAACACTCCAGTCATAGTAAGGTTAGAATGCCACTGGCGAATCAAATGCCTTCAGTCCTATGTCCTTTAACACAAAAACTACACTAATGAACCCACTGTGCCTTTTCAGCTTCTGAGGTCAATTACCCTGGTGTGCCATAGTCACATATTTAACTAAAGAAGCTTAAATTAGGCTTATTTGAGGACTGTACAAAGGCTTGCACTGCTGGAGACAATCAGAGTTTTGCTTTGGATAAAGTAGGCCATTTAAGAAATGACAGAAATTCACCTTTTCTGTAGCGGCAAGAACTCTCCCCGAACAGCTTGTGGGTGACAGCAGGCCTGCCTGAGCCGTAGCAAAGGGTATAGAATAGAAGTCACAGTCCTTCTATCTAGGCTGCTAAGCTTAAGAGTCCAGTCTGAAATCTTCCTGAGTTTTGCCAATGCATCCTGGCAGCACACCTCGTGCTGGCGATGATAGAAGTGTCTCTCCACAGGAGAGAAGTGAAGCCAGTGTATATTTTCTGTCTGAGGGGGGATTTGAATCTGAAATTAAAAAAAGAAAGTAAGTAATCTGCAAATACAACTATGGGTAAATGATGTTAAGGAATTCTAAAACTCAAAATTTTGATTTACTTGGTCAAGCACATCCTTCTTTGCTGATCTCCACATTATCTTCGCAATTAGACTGTAGAGAGGCTGGGGATTTTTCCTACAATAAGGTCGATATAGTAGTTGGTCCCACCAGTGTTTGACCCAGTAAGGATCAACTCCAAGAAAAAGGACTAATCCATACAAATCTGCCAAGAAAAGAAAGTATTTGTGTTTTAATACTTCACAATATGTATCAAAAAAATTAACTGTCATACCAAAGCCTATGAAGCATAAACCATCTCCATTCTGGCCTTTATCTTTTGCACTTGTTTTCCAGTCACGCCCTCAAAATATTTGAGGCAGGGGACTGGGTGGTGGAAGGTGGCCATTCTCTCCTTTAGCTCGCTTTTGATTTCCACACAACTTGAGAGAATTTAGCTGTTTGTGAGACACTTTCCTAATTTCAAGCTTAGCAGAAGAGAGCAAAGAATTAAAACCTATTCAGAGCAGAGACAAGAGGCAGAAATTACATGATTGCATATGGTTAACTGGGTTTGCCAGGTTTTTCTAGACCAATATTGCTCAGCATCATTACTTCAGAGCCTGCTGTGCACCAACTGTCTGCTGCCCAGAATCCTAGAAGGGGCTGCAATTCAGAAGAATTTTCACTTCTCTACTAATGCATAAGAAATTAACAAAAGACACTTCAATTGTTTTCTTGCTAATTGAGAGAATAGGTCTTGCTAATTCTGCCTAATTCAGAAACTTGTCACTTTTTGGAATGAAACTTAAGGACATACTGACTTTAAATTTCTGCCTTAATCTTACTGGAAAAATACAGAAGCACACATTTAAATGCTGCATGTGGATACTGCAGAAACAGAGATATGTGATGATATCTTCTAGTTCTTGAAAATCTGGTGGCTACATTCCTTATTCTGTTAGCTTTATCATAATTCAGTATTCAGCTGAAAGCATCAAGACATTCACCAAATACATCATAGACCAGAGGAACAAAAATTCTGGGAATCATTTCTATGCAAGAAGCAATTGTTTACCCAGAGCTCCTATCCCACTGCATTACAGCAGCAGTGGCACAGATTGAAATGAGTCTGCAGTTTTCATCCCTGACTTGATGGGGGCTGCCTTAGAGCCTGTCAACATGTATTATGGACTGTATGACATTTCAGATATGTAATAAATCAACACTATCACACACAGGGCCTTGAAGGAGTTAATCATGAGACTAAAATCAATCACTTCTTTCTGCAGCTTTGCTTTATTAATGCTGTATTCTCACAACTATTACATGTATTTATAAATTTAATTCAAAATTCCATTATGAATTAATCTAAAATATTGATTTTTACAACTTAATATCCAAACAACAGTCCACAAATGCTTACACTGATTTACCCACTTTCAAATGCATTGCCCCAGTGTGTATCATATATTTCCATCAGAGAACACATGGAGACAAAGCAGTTAGTCAGCTCCCTTTCTTTTATTCTATCACTGTCTGAAGCCTGTCTACAGAAACTGAGCATCACACAAAAAAAAGATATGATAAATGTCACCTGTTAACACACAGCTACCTACTCCACACATTTCAATTCGTTAAGTCCTTACATAAGGACTGGAGACAGTTTCATAAGCTTTAGCATGATTTTTAGATTTTATATTCATGGCAGTGGATGCCCACGGTAGTTCATACAGAGCCATGCAAAAAGCAAATACAGTTTTGCTTGCTGTATTTGACAGCTCACGGGATTCTGCAACCAGAGCAGACTATCTGCTATAGAGAAGGGTTAATATTTATCCACTCCACTAAGTGAAAACTGAAGAACACACTTGAGTCAGCTATTAGACATACACTCCTCATACACATTCGCCACTCCTCAAAGTATTTGTCTAACTCAGGGAGACAAAAATATTTCAGCTCTTCGACTTTTATATTGATACATGAATGATGGCTTTATTATCATGCTTAAAGTTTATGGCTGACAAAGTTAGAGTACCTAGTGAATTCAGAACAAAACTAGCAGACATTTTAAATGCTTCAAAGCCTCTCCTAGTTATCAGCATAATGAAAGCCCAGAGATTACACCACTGCATAAAATCTCACCTTCTAATCCTCGCTGCACAGGAGTGCCACTGACACACCAACGATTGATTCCACTCAAACGGAGCGCCATCTCAGCAGCCTAAGGACATAGAGCCAATGGTAGGAAAGGAAAAACACAGTCTTACACCAGGTGGATCTTATTTTTGAGAAGGCTGAACATCTTTTTAGAATGTACCTTTAGACCTAGAAGCAGCATTGGTGCAATATATTATAAAAACATATATAAAATTTTTCATCTTTTTAGAAGGTAACCGAAAGCTGATAAAAGCCATGTCCTCTTCCAAGTAATCAAGTGCAATTAAGGGTTTACAGAAGGCAAACAAATAGCAAAATAAACTCTATGTTTAAAAAATTCTGAACATTAAAGCCTCTAAGGCATTATGTAAGTAGCATTTTTGTCTTCCTGTGTTGGAAGACAAAAAGACTGGACAAAGACTAATTAAAATAATCACCCCTGAAGACTGTATCCCTTGAGTTTGCAGACAGACTGCTGACTATTTTAGCTTCTAGACCCAAAGGACATATCTATGCCTCTGAATCACATCACTGAACAAGGCTAGTGTCTTGTTTGAAACTATCAAACACCATATACAACAAGATGACCTAGTTCTTTAAACTGTCAGTACAGATTATGTTAACTATTTTTTCAGCTGGATATACTTCACGATCTGCCAAAATTCCAACCGAAGAACCATTCAATAGTAAGTATCTCCAACAGAAAATTCACTTCTGAAGAACAAGGGACAAGGACAAACTACCTGAGTGTACTCTGAACATTAAGAAGGGGGAAGGAAAGACTCTATTATTTACAATAAACTTGTCCAAACATTTTCAAGTTAAACAAATGCATGCCCAGGAATGTCATACCTTTGCAGTGGTGCATTCAACCATTTGTGCTTCGTCAAGGCAGATCCTCCACCACTCCACTGCTACCAAGGGGCTGGGGATGGCCATGTAGCGCTTCTGGTTCCTGAAGCGGCGCCCGTCCTCGCTGTTGCTGTGGGGAATGTCCACGTAGTTCAGTTCGGTGCGCAGGACGTCGTAGGTGGTGATAACCACCTCCTGCTCTGCCAGCATGTGTGGCTGCAAAAAGCCATGCTTCTTCACACCTTGGTACACCTACAGGGATTTACAGGCAACAGCACAATAGCAAAGAAGGGAGGTGAGAGACACTTTGATAAAAATGCTAACGTATCAGTACAGTTTAATATGTGCAAGCTTTTAGTGGTGTTGCTCACATAACATGAAACTTTTCATAAAATCTGTATTTATATAATAGTATGGTGGGAAATTCATCTGAGTAACCTAATAATAGATACAATACAGTCATGGATACAAAATTTGTCTAACTTTATGACTTTGCAAAACATTTATTTCCTCCTTTGAAGGAGAGAGGATTTCATTATTTTCTAAAACAGTTATTTGTTGTAGCAGTTGTTTGAAGATAAAGTATTCTGTAATGTTTTATGGAACAACATTATACAAGTCACATGCTTAGCCTTCTCCTCTCCTTTACTGTAGATCATTACCTTTCTTCCAAAAACTTTACCCACTAAAATTTAATGGATGATTAGGCAAAGACAGAAATATGCATTAAAATATATAAAACCCAGAAATTACACTCTGAGTAAAGTTTTACCTACAGAGATTGAAGAAATGAAAAAAAAAAACCTTAGGTAAAATACAGTCCCTGTGCACCAACAGAAACCCTTCATACTGACATTTGTTCTATTATCAGAAGTACTTTTCTTATCTCCCTCATAATGTTAAGCTAAATCCCTTTAGAAACATACAGAAATTAAAATAACTGCTTTTACCCCTTGATGATCAGAACATGATTTCACTGTTAATTTCTCTCTTGACCCTACTTTTTCTCCCAGTAATAATCTTCCTCTCCATTTGTGCATATGGCAACAGTGTTTCTGTCAATTGAAAGAAACACCTGTAGATAATTTCTTTCTGTTGTGCCCCAAAGTGGGACAACAGAGCAACCCACGTCATTGTACATGAAACTAAAGCGAGAAGGGGAGCTTGGAAGGGGAAAAAAAAAGAAACAAATTAAGCAAAAAGAGCAGGCTCTTTGACATAACCAAGAAGAAACAAACAGCTGCCAAAGTCTAATGACTTCTTCAAGTACTTACGAATAGATTTTCTGGAGATTTTTAACTTGGCCAAGTTTTGGTTGTTTTCACAGCAGCAGTAAAAGACAATCTGCCACAAGGCAAGACTTACTGATAAATTTTAATTTCTTCTTCTATTACATAAAACCATTAGAATTTCCCATGGGTTGTAAGCAGTTGAAGAGTAAAAAACACATGTCACATGCAATGCAAAAGTTGTTAACATGGGAAACTGATTCTTTGAAACACTTCTACTACTTCCATTTTACCTTAACAGAAAATAAAACACCGAATTTTCATTTTTGAAGCAACACTGAAAACAAGTCTCACAGTTGGCAGTTAAAAGAAAATGAAAACAATCTTGCAGAATGGAAGATGTCACACAGTTTAAAGTACCGATATTCAGTATTTAAACTAGATTGTTGTTACCATGTAAATCTATTTCTGATAATTTTCATCAAAGCTGGTATTAAACTTGGACTGGGCCCTAGAAAAACCATTTGAGTTTTACACATTTGTTAGTACCTGCATTAAATCCAATTGGACTGCTCACACAAATAGCACTGGAGGCCTAGAATTCATTTACACATTGGGCAACTATGCGTAATAGCCAAAGGTACCAGATATATCCCTGAATACAAAGTTATATCAACCTGTCACTACTCTGTTCAAAATACAAGTGACTGATGGTTTTCAAAGCTCTTGATTATTACAAAGGTTCTTGACTGCTAAAAATACGAAGGACAAAACTTGGCTGCATCAGTCATAAAAGACTCTTGAATACTGTGATAACAGTATTTTTAAAGACCTGTATAGCCATTATTACTCTAAGTATAATTAGATTTGTTCTAGTGACAGGGTTATGAGAAATGAAGTAAAAGGACAATACATGGTCTCCAAATAAGCAACATACTAATCAATTTGGTAGATGTTATAGACCCAACAGCCAAGTTGTAACAGTATTGTTTTCAGTAAACACCAATGCCCAAGACTTCTTTTATAAAGCCTGAGAATCAGAAATGCAAAACTACAGGTTTTACCTATGGAAACATTTTTTATCTAGAACAAAAAGAGGAGCAACAGTCAGAGAATTGCTTAAGGGCACATGTACAGCAAGACAACACTCAAAACACCCACAGGCCTTTTTAAGTTCCTTGGTAGTCTTTCAAACAGCCTTCCCTCTAAGAAACCACATGTTGCAACCTCACAAAAATTTGCTTTCAGCTGCTATACAATCTAGTCCACTGGTTTATCTCCCAGTGACCAACTAAAAAAAAAAAAGAAAAAAGAACTAATCGCAGACTGTCCTTCTGCGACATTGATGCACCGCATAACGCCAAAGCATTGGTCTAGCAGCAAGAAATGTAGAGCTCTAGCAAAGAGGACAAAGACCTCTGAACTTCGAGTGATGCAAGCTCTGAGCCTTGATAAAATAACTCTCCATATATAAGCTTACCAGAACTCGAAGAGATGATGATCTTACATGCCTGTTGATCTCATCTACCCACTGGTGACAAATAGAACTAGGAGAAATTATCAGAGTCGCTCCTGTGGGAACCGGTTTCATTGCCACAAGGCAATGGGGACAGTAGAAGGGCCTGCTCTTCAGGTTCTCCTCTTTGTAGTTTACACACTCGGCATGCTGCCACAGGTAACATTTCAGGCACTGCACACGAGCTTTGTAGTCAGCCAATCCAAGCTCACCACAGATGCATTCAAAACGATATTCAGAGGTATTAAATGGAAATACAGAACTGGTATGTTGTACGCTACTGCCAGCACGTTCTTGGGAATGTGAGGATTGGACTTTTGGGACTTCCTGCTGGATAACAGTAGTTTCAGAAACATCAACATCAAGATGACTGCTCGTGTCACTGGAGACAAGGAGGTTGCCATGAAAATCAGGAGACTTTGGGACCACAGTTTCTTGCTTAACATTTTTCTCTTCTACAGAGTTCTCATTATCTGCTTCAGATTTCCTGTTATTTTTACTAGTTGTACAATAATCATGTTCTTCCATGGCAATATTCTCATGTGAAGCAGTTTTAAAGACATTTTCAGACGTTTCATCAGTGTTTCTTGATTCTTTGGTTTGAGTTTTAGCATCAATCAACTGCTTCTTCTGAGTGCTTTCTGAAGTCCTTGCTACCTACAAAGTAAAATTAACCAAGAATGTCAGACTTTACATTCAGACTTGCCCAGTGATGTTTAACATCTATTAGTGGTACTTAATGTCTTCATTAATGACATAGCCACAGGGATCAAGTGCACCCTTAGCAAATTTGAAGATGACACCAAGTTCAGTGGTACAGGTGACACACCTGAAGGATAGGATGCTGTCCAGAGAGACCAGGACAAAGTGGGCCCATGGGAATATCACGCAGTTCAACAAGACCAAGTGCAAGATGCTGCTTTTAAAAGACTTATGACAGACATAGTTAATATTTTAGCCCCAAATTTTATCTACTTATGATTTCTGCTTCTTTATTTATGAGTGTCAAAGCAATTGCTGAAGTTTTCTTCATTTTTAACACTAGATCAGTATCACTGAACTAGTGTACACAGACAATACAGCTGAGAGTAGCATGCAATTGGCAGCAAAAAAGAACAGCCTTTGCAACATTCTTTGAAATAACTACAGCAGCATGTTTTACCTGCTCTTTGACTCTTTCTCGCTTCTTCTGTTCCTTATAATTCTTTCCCAGCTTGAAAGACCCAGCCAGACCATGTCCTTTAACTTGTTCAACCACCTGTTCTGCAATTAGTTTTTCCAGAGTTCTTTTGAGAAGCCGTCTATTTCTCTGCGTGTCGTACCTATATATAGAACTGATGTACTTAAATATTGCAATTATGGATGCTCCTTTCTTCACATTCATTTCCTTTACAGCTGCTAATATCATTACTCGTAAGCCTGTATGAATAATCAAAACAAAACAACTTACAGCTTCAGATGAAATGAAGTTACCTCACAGAATACGTATTACGGGAAGTCTAAACATAGTGTTCACCTAAAAAATGCAGATAGGCAGCAGTTTTGATAAGCTTTTAGTTGATGCAGCTCTACAGATTGCTGTTTTGCAGTGATTCTAAAACAATGTTGGATAACAACAGAAATAAATCACTCAATTTTCCTACTGAGGCATAAAAAAATACAGCTTATTTCATTTAAATGCATAAACTCTTTACAAAGACTTTTAGTTGCATGGAGCTCTGTAGCAGAGTTCTGAGTTAGTAACTTACTTTTAACTGTGGATCACTTGTTGGTAGCATGCAATCCTACAGGACAGGGCTCAGCAAAAGAATAATTTCATTCTGAAGAAGTCAAGAATAGCCTTGAACTCACAGTCAGTGACCAATATAAGACAATGCTAAAGGTAAAACATATTTTAAAACTCATCAGAAATACTTACTGGGATACTGTATTTTTTCCTTTAATTTAGGCTCCATTTCCTTTGGTTTTTTCTTTTTATTTCCCTCTAAAGGTTGAGGTGGAACAAAGAAGTTCACAAGCTTACCCTAATGCAAACAACATTAAATAGTTATTAGCTCATGTCTCTTCACAGTCACTCTGACCTTCATTAATCTCCTCACATTTTAAAGTAAGCATGAGCTGCTACAAATGTATATTCTGATCTCACTAATTTGCTCAGATAGCTCATTTTTAATGCACAGAGTGACAAATCATTCAGCTCAGTTTCTTGGCAAACAGTGTTTCAGTGAGCACCCTAACTGAAACACAAACAGCAGCTCTGAAAGCCTCTTGGGTCCTCCACTACTTTTGTATTAAGTTGCAGGAATCTACAGATGTAAATGATCTAGGTTCCTGATGGGGAGGAAAATATATATTTAATATATAGCTAGAAACACAAAAGGAGGTAAGCAATATAGAGGAAGAGCCCTAGTCAGCTATACAAGAAGTATGTTTCTCCTTTTAGGGATTGCCTCCCAAAATTTTACTCTACTATTAGAGTAATATATGAGCTAAGTTGTCTGTCCCAAGTACTTACATCATTAAACAGTTTTAGTAACTCCAGCCCTCCAAAAGCTCTGGTCTCTACCTATTGTTGTCAGTCACTGTCCAGGCACTTTAGTGCTTCTACTCCTCTCTTTGCACTACTCTGTGCTGACCCTCTCATATATTTAAGAATGTTATTCTCTCTAAGAATTGAGTCCTTTTAACTGATAAAATGACAAGCAGGCAGAAGATCACTATGTGATAAATGTACAATGAAACTGGCTGCCATGACTTCCAAGGGATGGAAGTCACAAAATGGTAAGAGTTTACTTAAGAATAATGGTCCTTTCCCTTCAGAAAGAATTTCTGGGTTTAGTAGATGTGCCAAGTTTTCACAGTATGCATGATAAGAAAAGTGAAAAGATGGAAAACTGTTGCTAAATAAGCTCATTTATTATATGAAATAGAGGGAGAGCAGATATCTTTATTTAGAACGTAAACTGTCCCTATTTTAGCACAGAACACGTGTCTAATGGATGTTTGATACCCATCAATACAATGAAGTGAAGGAGAATGACCTCCAACATAGTAAACTAAATTATGTATTTACACACTCCTGAAGCCTGCCCAAACTATATTAACAGCACAGTCACCTAATAAAACCATTGAACAATGGCAAAGGATCAACAGCATCTCACACAAACTATTCCACCATTTATGCTGCCAAGAATCATAAACTTTCACAGCAATACAGCTTTAAATATGGACTTCTATAAACCAGAAAACAAACTCAAGAGAAGAGAATGCCCTTGCATTCATTCTGAAAAGTATCATCTTCATAACAATGCTCAACCTGGTTTCCTTACCTCAGGTAATGTCAGATCATCTTGTTTAATCTCTGGTCCAGGATGATTCAGAATAAGAGCCAACACTTCTACTGTTTTTCCAAGACCCATCTCATCTGCCAAAATACCTCCAGGCCACTGGGGTCCAGCAGTTGGATACTCACGGATAATGCTAAAATTCAAGTACATTCCCAGTCAAAGTCAGTAAGTACAGAATGTTGTGACAGAGAAGCGTGTATTCAGGGACACACGGCATAGCTTCAGCAAGGCAAAGTTTGTAAGGTGAGGCATTATCTTTTCTTAGTTAAGCTGAGATTTACAAAAACTAGCAAGCTTTTTGGGTGTATGAACCTGACCAAGACAAATATGCATGCCAGAATTTTTAGAATTTTTCACTTCCTAATAGGCCTTGCCTTGCTAACCTTAGCATATCATAGCATTAGTACCAAAAAATTTGAAATATTTTTATATTCAATGTGAAAAAGATCTGAAAGTTACCAAGGGAAAAATAAAAAACTAGCAATCAAAAGGTTCTATTCTGACCAAATTAATGAGAAAAGAGAAACAGGCTTACTAATGCAATACCTAGCATTAATAAAAAGCTTTATACTGCTGCCTTCCTTTGGACTTTGAAAACACTGGATCAGAAGATCAAAGCCTCCAATACTCCAAATTAAAAAAGTTAATATTAAACCACTAAATTACTGACTTCTTTAAGAAAAGCTTTAATAATTACACCTTCAACTTGAGATCTACATATTTATCTGCGCATTATATCCTCGAGTTTGTTCTTTTTTCAAATTAAAGATATCATTGTTCTAATTCTTTAGTTGCTAACTGAAAAACAAGTTATGGAATATCTTATATCCTGCAGGATAAAGCTACCAACACGGTTTTCACAAAGTACAACCCTGACATGTCCTCAGAAAGAGTAACTATAAAAACATACCAGCCAGTAAATGGATTATAGTAGATTTTTATTCCATCCAGAGTGATCACCTCCCGCCATAAGAAGTGCAGCACGTTTTCTATGGAGAAAGTGCTCACATTACTATGACGAAGTTTCTCTATTAACAGCGCGCTCCTTAGAATTATTCAGCCTTTATGTGACATTAAGAGAAAAAAAGCTGAAGTCCACCTCCACAGAGCTTCATGACCAACACGATACACCAACTGCTGCTCAGCAAAACCTAGCTTATCATTTAGTGTATGACCCAAAGAACAGCTTCTATAAAAATACTAATGAAATAACTCACAAAACTTCTAATCAAACAGCAAGGAAACATTACTGCTGACAATGCAATTACACTTTCCACAATTATGCAAGTTTTTCAGATCCATATACTTGCCATTACTTGGAGTACTTGTGTGGTTCTCTCGGTGAAGCATCCAGTTCACAGCCTCGCTTTGGTACGGCCTCAGAATGGGAATCAATGCAGGATGCTGCACATCCTTTCTCAGTAATTGGATATCCTGCTGATGGGTGTGCCGTACAAAGTCATAAAGCTCTTCAATATTTTGTCGTTCTAGTTCCATGTCAGATTCTTCCTCATCTTCCTCCAGGTCATCTGCATACACCAAATAATTCAAGACATGCATCATCAATCAACTTGGGACAACATTTCAGTAAATTTTGCAGCAACATATTTAGTTTACACACAGGAAAATAAGCAAAGCAAAGTGTCATTTAACCATATGCCATGACTGCATCTGACTCAGCAGTAAACAATGAGCATTAATAACCGAAATAAAGAAAAACATTGCAACAATAACAGTAGTAATAATAGTAATAGCAATGAAAAGGAAAAAGGAGAGAGATTAAAAGAACCCAAGAAACAAGTGATACACAATACAATTGCTCACCTCTCACTGACCAACTCCCAGCCCATCCCCAAGTGGCAACTGGTGGCTCTCAGCCAACTCCCACTAGTTTATAAACTGAGGATGCTTGTTCTGTGGTGTGGAATATCCCTTTGGCTGTCCTGGCCATGCTCCCTCCCTTCTTGTGCCCCTGCAGAGTAAGGACTGAAAAGTCCTTGGCTTGGGGCAAGCACCACTCAGCAAGAAGTAACCAATCACGGCATTACAAACATTACTGTCACAGTGAGCCCAAACACACGGCACTCATCAGTTACTAAGAAGAAAACAAACTCTGTCCCAGCTAGAACCAGGACACTTAAAAGTTAACATGCTATGGTGAGCACAGATGTATATATAATCAACAAAGCTCTTTCTTTAGAAGTGAGGTATAGAATGACCAGAACTTATTTAATTAATAAACATCTTCCACTAAAAAATTCCAATTGTTACAGAATCACAATTATCTCACGCTTCTGACTTAAATATTAATAAATGACCTTATTGAAACAGGAAAAGTTAAGGTTAACTTATTCATCTGGTTAAGAAAATTGTAGCAGTAGGACAAAATATAACTTTTACCACTTGCATCACTGCAAAAATTCAGACAAGGCATACTTTCAAAATTAAAAACCCACCTCAAGACAAGTAAGTGCACTTTGGGACAGAAGGCCTACCCTTCTTTTCTACCCTCTAAGAAAGAAGGCCTTGTGCTTATGTATTTTTTCACATAATTTGGATATATGGGCATACACAGAACTTAAAAAATGTAGAACATTCATGAAAAATTCAAGGGTTGGCATTCTAGAAAACAGATATGAGAGAATGAAATACTTGCAGTATTTATTAAAACACTTTTACAGTGTTTTAGGCCTGAAATTAAAACTTTGGTATAAAAAAAATACAGACCAGTTCTAACCCTAGCTAGCATTGCAGATAAACTCACCCTGCAGAATTTTTGTATTAAAAACAAACAACAACAAAAAAACCACCATCAAAATTGGAAGCAAGTCAAGGCTATCATTTTCAGCATGAAGTAACCTTAAATTATATTTAACATTTCAATAAAGCAGCAAACGGCTGGCACACTTAAATCAGATTTTGATTCTGATGCCTCAGGCTTACAAGGAAGAGATGTACCTGGCAAAAATCAGAAAGCTTAATCTTAAAATAATGTTCAGAAGCTGGTATTAGAACTCTCTTTCCTGAAAAGCAAAAGCTTTCTTTCATTCAGATGGGTGGTGAGGATGAAGAATGATTTCCAAAACAAAAGGAGGAAATTATACACCTACATATGGCAGCCATCAGTGCCTTCCCCTAATCCTTTTAAATCACAGGAACAATCCCAGAGCTTCTCAAGGGAAATGAGAATACTGAAAGACATTAAGTTTCTACATATTCATGAAAACTATATATATGACTTGTAATGTAAAGAAGGCAATCAGAGTGCACATGTGGGGTTATTAATGATCCAGCCAAAAAAAAAAAAACACCCAAGAAAGCACTCAGCTTTATATAGTAAAGAAACCATTCAAAGGGATCCTCTAACACATACCCCTCACTTTAGGAAAAGAACAGAAAATTAGAGTATTTGAAAAGTGTAACTTTGATCAAAGAATTTGATATATAATGACACTTATCATTATACTTGCTAAAATAAGTCTTCAAATCTCACATTTTTAAGGATAATAAATTGACTTTTACATAAACTAAGTCTATCCATAATTCTACAGGAGAGCAAAGACTGCAATGTAATTTAAAGCAAAATTTTTTAATGCATTTGAATTTTTCTGTACGCACCCTTCTTGTTTTGCTCATTCTTTCAGACATTTCTTTTTCAATATTAAATGGTTCTACGTACCATGGGGATTTTGAAAAGGATGCTAGGGAAGTTTATCCCTCTCAGTTACTTATTAAACAGTGAATATTTAATTATGCTTTCAACCATTTCAAAATGTAATTCAGTTACAGAGGTCTCATCTTAATCTTTTTTACATTTGAGAAACAGATGGCATTGTACTATGTAAAAATTCAGTTTCTCTGATGCTTTTCAAGTACTGTATTTAATTCCTTTGATGACTGTACTACAGTTCTGCTACTGCATCTGCAGTAGGATCTTTCCTTCTCCAGACTGCAGTATAACAATATCTGCACTAATGAAAACAGCCTAGATTAATGGAAAACTTGTTGCGTCACATATGGTAGTAAACAAACAAATACCAAAACCATCTTTGTACAAAGAATTTATTCTTCTTAAGAAACCTGAGGGTAAATGGTGTACGATAAAAAGGTAAGACAGCAGAGAACATCTGCCTGAACAGGCAGATTTGGCTGAGACTTAGGGGAAACAGAGCATTTATGACCTTTGGAAGAAAGGGCTGGCAGTTCAGCATGACTACAAGGATGTTGTGAGGTTACTGTATTAAATTTTGGGTCCCTCACTACATGACAAGAAAGACATGGAAGTGCTGGAGCATATCCAGAGCAGAGCAATAAAACTGGTAACAGATCTGGAACATAACTCTTATGAGGAGCAGCTGAGGGAGTTGAGGTCATTTGCACACAAAGTAGATGAAGGGAAGACCTTAGTCCTCTCTACAACTACCTGAAAGGAGGTCGTAGTGAGGTGGGGATCGGTCTCTTATCCCAAGCAACTGAACAAGAAGAAATGGCCTCAAGTTGCACCAGGGGAAGGTTAGATTGGGTAACAGGGAAAAATTTCTTCCCATAAAGAGTTGTCAAGCATAAGAACAGGCTGCCCAGGGAAGTGGTTGAGTCACCATCACTGGAAATATTTAAAAGACATGTAAATGTGGCACTTGGGGACATGGTTCAGTGATTGACTTGGCAGTGCTGGGTTAAAACCTAAATGATTCAATATTACATATTTTATCAATTTTTTTCAGATTACTTAATGCATCTATGCTATGCTTGCCATAACACAGATGAACTTCCTGCCAAAAAGTCTCAAAAACATCTAGGATATTAACAGAATTAACTGAGTGCAGTTAAAAATATATTTAAATTAAATGTGGCAGTAGAGAGGTCATATCCCTTATTTGTGTAAATCCGTGTGCAGAACCCCATCAGCATGAGAGTTTGCTCATCAGTGGGGGGAACCAGAAGCCTCATCTTGGAATGTTATTGTATAGATTTCACTTTAGATGGATATTGATAAATGTTAGAATATATACTTAGGTGTAATTTTACAAAACCTCAACTAATTCTGTTTATAACCAGGTGGAATTTAAACTAAGTTGTTAGAAACATTTAAGGGAAATGCATTAATCAACACAGAATCAAGGCTATATTGTTTTATGCCACATCAGTAAGTTTGTGCTCAAAAACTGTTAGGAAATGAAACTAGTTTCACAGTGCATAATCACGTGGGGTCCTCCTTCACAAATATTCTTCAATTCTGTGACATGCTTTTTCTGAATTCAGAGCAGAGCATAATGCACACTATGGACTTATATAGTGATTCAGTGATCATGTTTTGTTCTCTAACACTTTCAGGATAATTCTTTACTATTGATTTGGTTTCACTAACACTGAACATTAAGTTGATGCATTCACTGAGCTATACACCTACATACTGAACTGCAACCCTGCTTGCAACAGTTAGCAAAGTGAGAGGCCATTAATTTTTTTCTTCTGCATTGTTTTCTATTCATCTATTGAATTTCTATTGCAACTCCATTGCCTAGTCTGCTTGCAAGCTTTCAGTTGTTCTTCATCTCTGTTATGATGAATAATACACTTAAACATTGTTGATACCATTACACCAATCATTCTTTTTCTCAAAGCGTTAGTAATACATTAAGCTGCACATGCCTTTGGCGGACTTAACTGGTGATTTGCAATCATTTATTTCTGTTCTCCATGTCAGCTGTTTTATTTCATCACTTACATGGCATTCATTGGCTTGAAATCAAGACTCTATTATTATTTTATAGCACATAAAAATGTACATACTGAAAAATGGTCCTAATCTTTACCAGCTAACAACATAGCTCCTTTACCAACCTGAGCTGCTTGCAGGGCTTCTGAAAAGTTAAGACATGACAACCCAACTTCTTGGGACCACATTCTTGCCCCAGAAACTTTGAGGGGCACGTCTTCCCTTTCAGAAAGTGCCTCTTCACCTGTAAGCTACACTGAACCAGGTAGTCCCTATAAACACATCCTTTAGTGTACTGAAGACAAATGACAAGGTTCCAGCAGAAAATCAGTTTGGACCTTAAAGTAAGTCACCAGAAATTTTCTTCACAGTCTTTTTCTCCAAACACTTCCACAATGAGAAGATATGCAGAGAAGGAAATTGTGCTTTCTGCTATAGCATTACTTTTATTTCAGCACTCTATCACATACCTTAGACATCTCAAGTCTACGAATTGTCTGGCAACTATTCTGCTTCTCCGAACGGATTTAAAACCACTACTATTCATTTCTAGACCTTAAACTATTTATTCTTCAGACCTCTTCTTGGATCTGATTTGTCGTTCTTTCAAATCTAAACTGGCATATTTGTGTCAGTCAGACTTCAGGTTTTGGAAGGATTTCTTACGTGCAGTACCTTCCCCAGTTACTGAGTTATATTTGCCCATCCCTTGGTACATCTCAAGTTGTTCCTCACAGTTGCATAGTTGTCTTCACAGCAGGTAAGGATGTTCAGATTTTATTCTGTTAGCTCTTCCTTTTAGCTTCTCTTTAGCCTGAGTTGCCTGATTTTTATACACCTCTGCCTTTTCTAATTAAGTGCAGTCCTATTTGGGGTGGGTGCTAGGCTTTTGTCACAAGAAGACAAACTCTGTATACTACAGTCTTCAGTCAAAATTTTGAATCAACTCTACACTCAGGAACGAGACAAATGTTGGTTGTGTTGTTTGTTTTTTTCACAAGCTTCCTAAGACATCACAACACAGAGCCATTGTTTAACACCCTGTGAATCTGTATTACTAGTAAGTGTAACCTGGCAAACACACCTTTAATTCCAAAATGATAGGAAGGCCCATATTTCTCAATCTGCAATGGCATATTCTCAAAACTGTCATAAAGCTGAATTTTGTAGTATTTTACATTGTAACTGCTTTACAATATTAAACAAACAGAAATCTATTGCTGCAGTTGTGTTCCCTAACCTGGGAACAAGTTTTCCAAATTTAATTCCTGTTTCTTTTACACTGTTCCTGTATAATTCAGAGAAGATAGTGTAGATCTGTTCAAACTACACCCATGAAACCGTGAAAATGGTATCTACTTCCAAAAAAAGTAAGGACTCAAAACATTCTTCAGTACCTGTAGAGAAGGATTATCACCTGTAATTTCAGCATAAAAGAATCAGTGTAATGACTAGATAATAGTATTGGGTGAATTACCTAATAACACTGCCTGGAAAAGAAGAGTTGCTCCAGATGGCAGGAATAACTACAATTTTGCCTTACATTTACAACTACTACACAAGACAAAACTGTTTCTGTTCATCAACAATCAACTTTATTGCATTACCTGGAATTAAAAAACTGTAGAACTTTTCCATGAGTTTTTGAATAATCTGATTAGCTTTTTTGGGTCTTCCACCTCCATCACTGAGAAATTCTGGTTTACTTAGGCCAGCTTCAAGAAGGTAAACTCCAACCTGTGAAAAGGTTATACAGTCAACAATTTAATTAATACTTAAACTGACAAGAATATTATAATCAGAGGAGCATGAAAATAATAACAGTGGTTTGAAAATTAGCAGGTACAGACAGATATAATAAATCTACTAAAAACACCATGTAGAGGAAATACAGCGAAAAGCTTCTGTGATTCTTTCAGGTAATACATTGCTAATGGTGAAAAAATAAAAATATATTTATAGGAAAAACACACTGAAAACATTACAAAGCATGTAGAAACTATACATTTTCATCACATTATAAATACAGAGTAGCTGCCAGACTTTCTTGTTCAGATGTTTTTATTTTATATTTCAAACAAAAAAAAAGAACTTTCAAAATGCAAAACAAATATAATGAATGCATACCTTTAAAGCCTGAGCCTCTCCAGGTCTTTGATAAAGTCCAATTATCTTTTTCTTTTGCAACCATCTCAAACCTTCCAATATTTCACCACTTAAAGTTGCTTCCACAAGAATACGTTGTTCATAAGCACCCAGGTATTCTTTTGTTTCATTGCTGTACTCTTCTTCACTTCTTTCATGAACACAGACCTGCAGCTCATCATCAGAGTCTCCTTTCATTAAAGTAAAGCTCCTGTCACGGAATTCATCAGATAGAATTTGCTCAGAAGGCAGACGAAGAGCAAATTCTCCCAACAAAGCCTTCCAGGACCTATCTGCACGGTATGGCAGGACTATAATATTTAGCTGTACGGATACAGGAGTCAAGATGGAATAAGAGTCTTCTTCATCATTAACTGTCAAAAACTTAACAGATTTTGAGCCACTGCCTTCTTTCTGTACAAGATCTTCATCAGTGCTATCATCGTTGATAACAATGAAGGATGCAGAAGTGCTTGGAACTGGAATATGGTCCTCATCAGTTACTTCATCATCTAAAGCCACCATCTCATTTCTCCGGTCTTCATGCATATTCCAGCAGAGCTTTTTCTTCTTCTCCTCATCCACTTTGGACGGAGGTGCCCGCTTCCGACGACTGCTCATTTTGCTGTTTTCTCAATGGTGCTTTCAGTATCTGCAAGGTGAAGTAAATCAGTAAACAACAGGCATTACAAAATCAAATGGCCACACCAGAATTTCACTGTGCAAAATTCTGGGACACAAATATATGCACCATGCACTCAAACTGTTCAGAAGTATTAGCTTTAGAGGGTCTCCTACTCCTGTGCCATCACATGAAGCTGGACATGAACCATGGTTTTGTACTACATCTTACAAGTTTTCCAGACAGCTACAGACAAAGACCAACAAGACTGCTTCATTTCAGAGCTCTTTACTCTGAATCTTGTGGGACAGATATAAACCTAGAAGCAGGGCAATCCTTAAAGATGGGGGTGGAGGAAGACAGCAAAAAAACCCAAAACAAACCTCTGCAAACAAAAGTGCAGAAGTACAGGAGATATGGGGGTGGGAGTGGAATAAACACACATAAAATTCCTCTTTCCTTTCAAAGCCTACATAGAGCTGAAACTTAAACTTGACACAGGGCTAGTCTGAAACTGCCACTACATAAAATATGGTTTAGAGCCCAAGCTATCAAGTTCTGTCCTTCAAAGTCCCCAATGACCTTGCTACTAGTATTGAATAATTTTCCCAGGAAACTGTGCATCCTGGGCCCTGAATATACAAACTGCTTGCAGAAGAGGCCTTAGTTAGTTATTGTGCATTTCAGGGGGACCAATAAGCAAACTAAATGTAGAGTCTTACTGATATTGACTAACTGCAATCCTAAGTCAAGACAGACATCCAACTCCTTAACTGAACCTGGGCAAAGAACAGACTTTGTGGATAAAATACAAGAAAATAAAGTGCAACTGCTAAATGGTATATATGAAGAAGCAAATTATAGAATATTAGATTCATCTGGGAATCTAATAACTACATAGCCAAAACCACATGCTCATAATTAAATACTCAAGCAAGTAGGAACTTTTTTCAATAAAAGATTTTTTACAAGGAACCTGAACACAGCAACAGATCTGTGACTTCATAGCACACTTTGTGAGTATAGATATTTGTGTCAACATAGCTTGTGCATACAACTTTTAAAGAACTGTAGGAAGATAAGAGGAAAATATTCCAAGCTACTAAATCCAGTACACCATATCCTAATGTTAAAGGGGCTTATGCTGGAACAGAACAGAATTTCTGTTATTGAATGTTTTTCTAAGAGTCTTGGAAAAAACCCAAAAAACATAACAAACAAACGCTAACTGATAATTCATGAAAGTCAAAGGAAATATAATGGAATATACAAACCTTCCTGTGTTCGAAACTCAAACACAGAATCAATTAGATTGGAAAAGACTGCTGAGATCATCGAGTCCAGCCTGTGACTGAACACTGCCCTGTCAACTAGACCACAGCACTCAGTGCCACATCCAATCTTGCCTCAAACACCTTCAGGGATGGTGACTAGACCACCTCCCCGGGCAGCACATTCCAATGTCTAATCACCCTTTCTGTGAAGAAATTCTTCCAAAGGTTCAATCTAGACATTCCCTGGCACAGCTTAAGGCCATTTCTTCTCATCCCAGTTACATTTGTTCGGGAGGAGAGTATGACCCCCACCTGGCTACAGCCTCCTTTCAGGCAGTTGTAGAGAACGATGGTCTCTCACAATTACACAATAGACTTCAGGGAAGGAAGGGCGAGTTTTTCAAAACAACGTTCGTGCACACGGAGCGATGCTGACAGCACTCGAAGCAAATCCCGACGGCGAGCACACACTGCACTCAACCCAGAGGCAGACGGGGCCCTGCGGCATCCCAGCCTACAGGAGCACGCCAGCTTGGGCATCGCACTCTGAGGGACAAGCGGGTGACGACTGGGGTCTGCTCACAGCTCCAGCGGCCAGAAGACGCCCGTGCCTGCGAGGGGAAGCAGCAGCGGCGCACGGGGCAGGGAAGCGGCCGGGGATGTCTGCAGAGCCGCACCGAGCCCCCGCCGACCCCGGGGCCAGGGCCGGGGCCTCCCGCACCGCGCTCCGCCGCAGGGACGCGGACAGCTCTCGTTGTCTCGAACGAGGAAAGCGACGGGAAGCTCGGGAAGGGGAGCCCAGCAGCGGAACGCGATACCCTGGGCAGCCGGCACTGCACCACCGCGACGCCTGCCACCGGCGGGCTCTGCGCGGCTGCGGTGACCCCCCGGCGCCCCGCGGTCACCGCGCAGTGGGCCCGCGGCATCCACCGCTACCCGCGGCCACTCGCACAGGCCTCGGGCTGCCCGGCCGCGTCGCCAACGCCCACGGCAAGGCCGCCGCGCAGCTAAGGACTAGTGAGGCCGTAGCGGAGGACAGGGGGCAGCCCCGGGGGCGCAGGGTGAGGGGAGCGGGGCGTGGAGCCGCGGACGTACCGGAGCGGTGACGCTGCTGCCCCGGCGGCCGCGGCTCCTCCCGGCTCGGGCGGGGCCCCCGCGCGCCCGCGGCAGGGAGGGCGGGTCCAGGGGCGCGAGACCGCGCCGCCCCTGGCAGCGCCGGACGGAGCCCCCGGACAGGATGGGGGGGTGGAGGGGCAGGCGGGCACGGGACAGCGCGCGCACCCGCGCCGGCCCGAGCGGCAGCCAATGAGCTCCGGGAAGCGTGGCATTTGCCCCGCCTCTCCCTGACGTTAGCGGAACAAAGAGAGAGGAGGTCTGGGAGCAGGCGCAGTTGAATGCACCCCGGGCGAGGGGGCTAAAGCGACGGTGCCCTCAGTGGGGCGTGGCTGGGGGCGGAGCGAACGCTCTTTTGTGACGCCATGTCGGTGGGCGTGGCCGCGCGGCGCGCGGGCAGGGTGGCGCTGAGGGCGTGGAAACCTGGTGGGATCCAGGGAATGTGCGGGAAGTTTCAGCCTGAACCGGGGGGAGAATTTCGCTGTGCAGGCGGCCGTGCACTGGAGTAGATTGTCCGGAGAGGCTGAGGAGTCTCCCTCGATGGAGATACCCGAGAACCCTCTGGTCGCAATCCCGTGCCGTGCGCTCTGGGATGATCCTGAGCAGGGAGGCTGGATCAGATGGAGCCCTGTGGTCCCTTCCACCGTGACCCGCTCTGTGATTTTGTGCGTGAAACACTTGGCAGGAGAGAGAGGACTGGTCGGGCATCTTGACAAGAGCGATTGAAAGAGCGAATTTCTGGGCTGTTAGCACTGTGAAAAGGCAAAATAATTTTTAACCGCAAATATCACTGCAGTAAAGACTACGGAAGGAAGCTGGTGAAGTTGCTGAAGGGTCTGAAGCACAAGTCCTAGGAGGAGTGGCTGAGGGAGTGTTTAGCCTGGAGACTTGGAGGCTCAGGGGGCGGCTTGCCTCTACAGCTCCCTGCCAGGAGCCTGTAGCCAGGTGGGGATCGGCCTCTGCTAGCGGGCACCAGGGGCGGGATGAGAGGACATGGCCTCAAGCTGTGCCGGTGTGGCTTAGGTTTGTCAGCGGGAGGAATTTCTTCATAAAAAAGAGCAATTTAACACTGGAATGGGCTGCCCAGGGAGGTGGTGGAGTCACTGTCCCTGTTCTTTCCTGGTGTTCAAGAAAACCCTGGATATGGCACTTAGTGTAATGGTATAGCTGACAAGGTATTCAGTCCAGGGTTGGACTCTGTTATCTCAGAGGTCTTTTCCAACCTAAGCGATCCTGTGATTCTGTGAAATGCACAGATTGACAATTGGAGGCAGCTGTAAATACACAAATAGAGAGCCCTTTACAGCAAGAAGGTGGGGTTCTCTTTCATAAAAATTTTTTCAATCATTTTTTAGTATTATGTTTTTCACATTAATTCCTTAATTGCCTGTGTTGATTTTCTGCCATTCTCACCTTTTCTGAAAGGGTGGGCTCAGAAGAGCTGCTTAAAACCATGATGTGCAGTAGCTTTGGAGTGTTGGCCCTTATACCAACCTTATGTGGTTTGGCTGTTTTAGTTTTGCAATGTTTAATTCGCATTCCTAGATTAAAATTAGCTTAAAAAGCATCACGTGGTCCTATGTTACAACAGGAAATTGCTGCAGAACAGAGATGAAAGGGAAGACAGAATCATTTAGGTTGAAGAAGACCTCTGAGATCAAGTCCAGCCTCTGACTGATCACCTTGTCAACTAGATCATGGCACTAAGTGCCACATCCAGTCTTTCCTTTAAACACCTCCAGGGACAGTGACTCCACAACCTTCTTGTGAGCAGCCCATTTCAATGTATGATCACTCTTTCTCTGAAGAAATTGCTCCTGATGTCCAACCTGAACCTCCCCTGGCACAGCTTCAAGCTATGTCCTCTCATCCTGTTGCTGGTTGCTATGTCCTCTCATCCTGTTGCTGGAGAAGAGGCTTACCTCCACCTGGCTAAAATATTTTTTCAGGGAGTTGTAGAGAGCAGTAAGAGCCTCCCTGAGCCTCCTTTTCTCCAGTCCAAAGGAGTGCCCAGCTCCCTCAGCTGCTCTCCATAAGGCTTGTGCTCCAGACCCTTCCTCAGCTCCATTGCCTTCTCTGGACATACTCCTGCACCTCAATGTCGTTCTTGAAGTGAGAGGCCCAAAACCGAACACAGAACTCAAGGTGTGGCCTCACAAGTACAGGGAGAGAATCCCTTCCGTGCTCCTGCTGGTCACACTATTGCTGTTGCAGGCCTGTTGATTCAACGTGTGGGACAGTGAGCAGCTGAAGTGATACCCTTCGCTAGGAATTTGTGAAGCTACGCTGTTTCACTCCTACTGCTGGTATACATCCATATACACATGGATGGATAGGGTAGGCAGCTACTTTTAAAGGAGTGACATCTAGGTTTGTGTTGCAAGATGTGAATATCAAATTTTCTCATTCTGAACTGTCTCTCTTGAATTCACTCTATTGGCAGGAGTGAGGGCAGCTAGAGGATAACTTCCATCACATTTACTGAGGTGAGGGGGGCGTGCTGTGAGTCTGTGATAATGCAGAGTCCCCCAGCAGGGGACCTCAAAGGTGTGACTCCTCATGTGAATGTCCTGCACCTGCTGTTGATGACCTGATGCTGTGACAAAGTCCCACAAGTGACTGCTGCTCACCCTCCTCCACTTGGTGAAGCTGGACTCCACCAGCAAAGGGAAACAGGAAAGAAAGCACTTCCAGAACTCTTGTAGAAATAGCGGACAACAATTCCTGCCTCAGTGAGATCTGTTCACAGACTCATTTACAGGGCTGTTCACAGGGCCATGAATCTCTTAATGAGTCTTGCCCTTTAGTTAGCTCTTCTATTTCTATATTGTCCATCTATTCTATTAACAATTTCCTCTCCTGGACTGGGACTTTTGCTTTTGTTGGTAGTGATGGTGATCTTTAAAGATTTAGAATATAGAGCATTTGTGAAACTGAACTTTATTTTCTTATCTGTATGTCATGAAAACTAGTAAGCAAGAGAGTAACATTTCTGCTTTCAGAGGAGGGGGAAAACACCATGGCCCCAAGAGGGTGACTGTTCTACATGACAATATCTGTCTGAGCCTCTCTTTTTCTCTCACCCTCATTTGGTAAGAAATATCTTTCCTAGTTCTCAGGATAAACAACCTTGCCATGATATCCTGCCGAGGGAAGGAGGAGATGACTCCAAACAGGGTAACAGTCATGCTCTGGCCTTTCCCAGGTCGCCATTTTCTTGGCACTGCTAGAATCCCTCCTGGCTTAAAGCTGAGAAGTCACTTCCCAGCTCTCCCTGCCCACTTATTGGGTCAAGACTCAGTACCTCTTAGAACTTTTCAACTCAAGAAGGAGAGGAAAGTGACTGAGATTCAAAAATATCCTTGGGTAGACATGCAGTGAAACAACACTAGAGGTCCTTCAACAAGTAATGATTTTATTTGAAGAAGAATTCACTTTTATTATCACAAAGATGAAGGCACACAGCTAGCAAAACACTATGTTGGTAAACCTTGCAATATCATATGAGAAAGAGGAGGGTGGGAGAAAAGTAGAGATAGAAAACAAAAAGGGGGGAAGAGAGAGAGATCATCTGTCCTGCAGCATAAAGCATAGAGCACGAGAGATCTTGGACATCTCTGAGAGCAATGGAGATCTTTGGAATGTCAGGAACACTAGTTCTGAAGTTCTTGAGTACACTCTGACGCAGTCAGAGGCACAAATCTTACCAAAGTGCTGTCCCTGCTTTGGGGAAGAAAGAGAAGCAGGCCTGTTGATTTGTCTGTAAGGTGGCTGTATTCTCAGCCTCTGTCATGAAGGATTTCAAACACTAGTTTTTCCTTTTGGACGAAGTGGAGGTAAAACCATGCTGCCGTCATAAACGGGGGCAGGGCAGCCAATTTATATGTAAAAGTAACAGTTTATATGTAGAGGAACAAAGAGAAGGATTACAAAGACTGCAGGTCTAGTGAAGGGCAGAGCAGAGCCATGGCACCTTAGCAGCGCTCCTTCTTCCACTTGGCTGCAAGGATAAGGATCATCCCCCCTCAGCACAGCATTCACACATCTCATGGAAATCTTAGCTATATATCTTGTGGCGTATCTCATGGAACACTTCACTGTTATCTTATGGCTCCACAGGAGTGTTTGAAGCATTTCTTATCCTCCTTCTTAGGAGGATACAAAGGGGTCTTCACCCACTGCATCCATCATTTGTCTGAAGGAGTTTTGCTTTTCTGTCTAGTCACTTACAAACTTATCTTTTGAACTAAGGGTTGAAAGCAGGTGGAAAAATCCCTGTTTCTATTCAGCAGCTAATGACTAAGGTTCCAGGGGATTAGCACCCAGTAATTTTTCT